TTAATCTCCGGGAATAAACTCGTTGACACCCGGTTTCAACCACCTCTTTCCCCTCGTTTTCTACGCCGGAAAACCCCTTACCCGGGAAAGCCCCAGACCGCTTTTCCGCCCACGGCCGTCTTCCATGTTTGAAATTAATTTTATTCACACAAAAATTCTCGCGCGCATACAATTTCATTAAGCAAATATTTTCGTCGCCCGCCAGCGTTACCTCTTCTGTCACGCCCCCTCCCCCGCCTACATATTCCTCCCCCTTTTCCGCCTTCGGGAGAGGAAAAAAGCACAAGAACAACAAGAAGCACACACACACACACAACTTACCAAAACAAAAGCAAATCAGAAGGCGTAGTTGAGTATGTTGAACTTGGGTTTAATTCAGGGATTTCGTGGGTGGTTCTCGGGAACAAGTTACAATCCTCGAATATTTATCTTGGTCATTAAACCAACAGCAAAATACAACAAACAATTAAATTTAAAAACAGTGCAGTTCTTTGTGTTCTTTAATATCGATTGTTTTTGTCATTTGGTTAAAATATAACATCTACTATTTCCAATAAAAACTGCCTTTTATTTATTTTTCTTAGAGAAACCATTATTTTTAAGGGTACCAAAAACGCTGTTTTCCCATCTTGAACTTTTCCTTCAACTTTTTGTCTCTTTTGCTTGTTTTTTTTTATGTGAGTTAACGACGCGCAGCATTTATACGATTTTAATGCCGCGAGCGGTCCACAAGAAACTGATTCCTTACCGCTCCACCCAGTCATAAAACGGGGCATATAACAAATGATAGTCCCGGCCACGCCCACCGCCCCTGCTGCCAGACAAACAAAAAAAAAAGTCGAACAAAAAAAAAAAAAAAAAAAAGACAGCACAATTAATGCATTAAAAGAGGTCGAGGATGAGGAGGCAAAAGCGAAACATTTGCAGGCCAATAAAAACGCCATTTAATGACGCCTGCAAATTTTCGAGCCTCAAATAATCAGCATAAAAATGAGCAAAAATGCAGAATATAAAATTAATTGAAATATCCCACAGAGAGCGGGGATAAAGAGGAGAGGAGAGGCCAGGGGGAGAGAAGAGGAGAGGGGGGAGAGGAGTAGGGATAGAGACAAGAGGAGAGGAGAGAGGAAAGGAGGGGCGAGGGGATGGAAACGAGAGGAGAGAAGAGAGGAGAGGAGAGGGGAGGGGATGGGGGAAACAGAGCCAAGAACCGTTAAATATAAAACATTCCCGGAGTCAAATGCCAGGGATTTTTCACAAGCGATTGACAGGCGAATGTTGACTGCTGTTGCGATTAAAATGCGAAGCGGTTTCAACCGATAATGAGCCAAACAAAAGCGAGGTGAATCGGTAAATGTTGCTCAACGGATTAAGCGGCGAATCCCTTTAAATTGATTTATTTACCAAAGGCCATCGCAATACTTTTGCATGCATTTGGTAATTAAATTTAAATTTCAGTTCGCAAAATACTTTAACTATCGCATTAAACGGGGAACTAGAAAACCCAGGGCTTGCTTAATATTTAGCTGTTGTATTTGGGAGTCCGAGGAGGAAAAGCACTCAGGACGACAAACCAATTAAGGCGAAAGACACAAAGGAGGAAATGGTGGTGGGGGGCATGAAATAAGGAAGAAAAAGTGAGGGAAGGGGAAAAGGAAGAGAAATGGGAAGGAAAGAAGAGGAAAGGAAAGGACGACTGAGCGAATCAGTTTCCCCATTCGGTCCAAGATGTTGCTCTGGCGAGCTTATTGGCTCAGTCGGAGGAAAAGTGCGCCGGTATTCGGCCAGATCCTCCCCACTCCACCCCCCTCCTTATACACTCCCTGCTGTCCATTTCCCCCATCACCATCCCCATCCCCATCCATCCATCTCAATTTACTGCGTGAGACTTTTGTCAACGCACGGCGAGAAAATGAATGCCAGAAATTGCGAAGCCCAAACGAAAAAAAATCGGAATGACAGCGGAAAATGGAGAAACCAGGGGGAGTGGGGGGCTAGCAAATAAGAAATGGGAGGAGAAAAGCTCCTTCCTGCATCGGACATTAGGCGACTCCGTAACACTTGTCAAATTTGTGTCGCAAGAAATGCCGAAAATTTCGAAGCTAGAAATACGGATAATTCAGCGCTTGAAATTAAAACTTTTTGCTGGATATTTGCATGGTAACAAGGAATAATTAATATCATTTTCGTGTACTTCTATGCATAAATTTATCAATAATTCACAATTACTGTTCAATTTTCAATGGTAATCTAATGATTTATTCAATACTTTAAGATTAACAAGGCTAAAAATAAAGAAGCCTAAGTATACTTGAAATTACAGTGCGTATACTTAATATCATTAAGTATACGTATACCTTACAGCTTAGTACATCTGTAGATGTACTAAAGATTTTTTTATGTAGAAAAGACTGAAGACGAGTAAAACGAAACACGGCGAAAAAAAGTGTTGGCAAAAAAAGCAATTTACGCGGGTCTCTGCCGCTTTCACCCGCCTTCTTTCTTCCACTTCCTCTCTCTCGCTTTCTCCTGTTGATGGCTGAGGCCACAGTTTTACACATGTGTGCGTGTGCGTAAGCGTGTAAGTGTATGTGTAAGCCCATGCGTGTGAGTGTGTGTGTGTGGGCAAACATAAACAACAGTTACGCTCGAACAACGGGCAAAGTTGCATTTCCGCTGTAACCGTTTTCCGCACAGGAAATGCGTTCGACGCGTGTTTGAAATATTGGGCCCAAAAGTCCCTCCCCTCCCCTGGATTTTCCTCTCGAGCTTTTGCAACCTCCTGGTTCCCTGGTTTTCCTACCGCCCACCCCCCTCTTTGTGGTCAGCTCGCCTGGGCAGTGATTTTGCCGTCGGTCCTTCGCCAACCGGTTTTCATCTCATTTGAGCGAGCATTTAATGTTCAGCCTTCGCGGGCTGGGAAAACTGCACCAGGAAATGATTCTTAATCCCCGTGATTTTCCACCCCGAAAGGCCTTCACTGATCGTTGAAAAGCCGCGCGAGGAAATGGGGAGTTTGGGGATTTTCCGCAAAACGGTTTTGTTGCTGCATCGCAAATCATGCGTAATGGAATCGAAGTCGCAAAAATTGTCGGCCAATGTTGGCAACATATTAAACGCGATGCAAACAACACGTGGCAAGCAAAAGGGATTAAAGGCTTGACCTTAAAGGGTTATTTTGGTGAAAGTGGGTTGCTTTCGTAACACACAAATATATATATATAGATAATATACTTTATGAGTGTAACTTAACATAGTTTGCATAGTTCCCATGCATTTTATAGGTTAAAAATACAAAAAGTACTATTGCTTTTCTCTATCTTCTTTTGTGTGAAGTAAACAAAGCCATTTCTTGGGCAAGTTTCTTGAATCCCAATTCGATTCATCTTGATTGCCCAACAACTCTTGAATTCCCCTCAAATTCCCACCTTGGCCAATTGCGATTGCGATTTGATTCACGCTCTTTGTGTTTTCCTATGCTGTGAAGTTTGCCCTCGTCCGAGATTCACTGTCCGAAAGAGGCGTTCGCAGGGCCACGCCCCCCGTTCGCACCTTTGCTACGCCCCAACCACGCCCACTCGCCCACCTGCATACGAAATGCGCAACACATTGGCTGCACTTGAACTGAATTCCCAGCGCTTCTCGTTGTTTTGCCGCCCTTTGTTTTTCCCTCCGCTTTTCTAAGCCACTTGACGGCCTTTTGACCGCCTTCCTTTCGGAAGGAAAATGCGGGGGATAACAAAAACAAGTGAAGCGCCTCAAATATGCAGTACACTCACCCACTCACTCACAGTTGTCCTTGTGTCCTTGCCAGAGTCCTTAATTGCCTCACCTTCGTCTGTTTGCCGCCCTTTGGCCATTTCCTTTGCATACCTTTAAAAACAGGTTCTGTGTTGCACGGAACTTGCTAAAAGTCTTCTTAACAACCTGGGAAATAACAGAGGATTGCACTTTTAGGTTTCCTAAAATGTATTAAATTAATTATTGTGTCGTCTAGAAATCGTTAGGATTTTAATTGGAATTTTGGGGTTTCCCCCATGAAATAAAAACATATTCATCTGTTTCAGGGAGATTAATCGTTGTCCGTTGTTTGTTGATTCTTTTCTTTATTCCAATTACCCCAGCTGACAGAAAGTCGTTCTTTTTTAACCAGACTAATGATCAGCTTCTGTTTTTCACCTTAATTGTTGTGTTTTGGCTTCGACGAGATGAAAACTAAACAAATGCCACGCTCCCGTGCATTTCAATCAAAGCGAAAGCGAACTCCAATCGTCGACGACAGAGCCGATGATGGGGCCTAAGCCGCTTAGGCTTTTGGCCATGGCAACACACCCAACACCCATTGAAACAGCCATTGAAATGCCGCCCATCGTATACTCACCCGCAAAACAGACACTTCGATTCGGCTCCGCCCATCAGTTTTTGGCATTTTGGCAAAAGCGATTAATTTCGAGTAATTGCAACTTAATGAAAAGCATTCAATTGTGCAAATTAATGGGAATGTCTTCAGCATTCTGATTTCCAGACATCCGCATGTGTTTTGGGTGTGTTTTAGTGCCTGTTAATTAATGCTTTGATGAACCGCACTCAACCAACCACTTGGCCGCTTCCACCTGCAAAAGGCCAAAAGCCCAGGAATCCCCGAAACCGATTTTCATCTGCGGCACTTGCGGATTTCGCCCAAAATTGTAAGCGATTGCCATTTGCGATGTCCATTGAGCCGGAATACCAAATCGGTTTATCGTATCTATTTGCCTATTTCGGCAGAAAATTATATCAAGCAATGCGAAATGCCGCAGCCGAATGGCTTATGTATTTGGGGGCTCGAGTAAAAATTGCATAAAGCCAATTAAATTCCAAAGGTATTGTGTTGTTTTGTGATGCTTGAAAGTTATGTAAGCAATTTACAAATTTTGTTGAGACGTCAGATCCCCTTTGAAACTTATAATTACTCTACCCGAATTTCAAGTAATTAAATCTTGTTTAATTATGCATTCCAGTTCAATTGATTGAGGGACGTGGCAAAACAGCGACCAGATGCAAGATGAACCCGGATCAACCGATGCAAGCAATGCAAACTGGGGCGCCGCCGCCGCCGCCCTCGCAGCTGACCGCCCACACAATCGCCGCCGCGTCCGTCGTCACCGCTGCCCCGCCCACCGGCTCCACAGCGCTGCACTTCGGCGGCGGAGGGATCCCCACCTCCTCCTCTTCTGCAGCTGCCTCCTCCTCCTCCGTCGGCGGAACAGCCGGCGGCAGCTACGTGTCCATCGGCATCCTGCCGAACATGTCGCCCGCCCAGCTGCAACCGCTCCTCCTGCCCGCGCCGCCCAACGCGACCACCACCTTCAAGACCACGCCCCTCCTGCCCATGCCCACGCTCGAGGACATTGAGGTGGCCAACCAGACGGGCGGCCAGAGCGGTCAGGTGGGTCTTAAATCTCAGCTGAAACACATTAACACATCAATCGAAGGGTTAAACTGATCGGAAGCATCGGAATTTGAGCAGAATTTTGCAAACATTTTTCCATTTATGGAGTGACTTGCCTCGTTGAGCTCATAATTAAATTTCTAAGCGATCTGGATTCAAGCTGAAAAACTTTAGCAATAATTAGCCTTATTCGACAATTTTGTAAAAATTTAATATTATTCAAAATGAAAAGGAAAGTGATAGGGATCGTTAGTTTGGGTTATCAGCTGTACAGAACAGTGTTTATTTTAGTTGTGGGTTACACTTTAGCTAAGATATGAGAAAAACCCCAAAAAAACACGGGATGTTTTATTACAATCCCAAAACTCTGATTTTTACCTCATATAAGTCAGGTTTTTAAGCAAGTGAAGTAATAACATTCCGAATACGGAATGTCATACCTCGCTGAACTCGTAATTAAATTCCTGATCAAATGGCATTCAAGCCTGGAAAACTTATATTTTTTTTTATCGAAAAAAATCTGATGCAACCTTTAACCGAAAAATTCAAAAATGTGGTACAAATTTATTTTATTGAATTGTAAAGGAATTGTAAATTTAGGTTATCAGCTATTCAAAACCGTTTTTCTTTTAGCTGTGAGTCTGATTTTAGTCAAGATATAGCCAAAAATCACTTGTCAAACTTCATAATTTTGACATAAGATATTTTTAGTTTTAAAACCTAGTGTTATATGTTTAATATACATATATGCTTTAAGCAACTTTAAAATATTTCTTAACCCCACCAGGTGGTCGTTTCCATGGCACCAACTTCGATGGCGCCGCCGGGCATTTTGAAGTACCCCACGGCGGGCTACGTTAACGACCTGATGGCCCCGCCGCCCACACTGCCCCTCCCCCTGCCGCTGACCCACCCCCCACCGTCGGTGCCACTCACCTCGATCGCCAGCAGCGCCGGCGGCAACAACAACAGCAGCAGCAACAGCACCATCATCGGTGGCAACAGCAATTGCGGCACGCTCAAGAGCAACGCCAAATTGCTGCCGCTCCAGCTAATGGCCACGCCCCCGAGTCGCAAGGAGCCGCTGACGCCCGCCCACCCGCAGGCGGCCTCGATTCAGGCACAGGCGCAGGCGCAGCACCAACTGCAGCAGCAACACCAACTGCAGCAGCAGCAGCAGCAACAGCAGCAGCAGAGACAGCGAAAGCAAAAGGGATGGTGCTCCTGTTTCGGTTCGCAGCCTTCGGGTGGTGGCGCCTCAGGCAGTGGCGGTGCCGGGGGTGGTGGTGCGGGTGGGGGTGGTGAGACCGGAAAGACACCGCCCGGATACGGAAGCAAGGAGGGGAAGAAGAAGAGCCGCAAGGCCACCTCGCAAACGGTGTGGTCCGCCCTGCTCACGAACCTCGGCATCTGCATGCTGCTGCTGGCCTACACTCTCCTGGGTAAGCCATTAATTATAATTAATTCGATTAATTAGCCGGAAACGCACTCCACTCGAATAGTTCGCTCTGCTCCAAGGAGAGCCTAATTCGATTTATTTTTCAATTTAAAATTCGCTTGGCCGGACAGCGAAGTATTTTATATTGTACTATTTTCAAGGCTGAAATGGTTACTAAAGAATTCAGTTTTATAAGATGGGTGTGTCTTTTAACTTTAGTTACATAAGGGAATCTAAGTTTTGAACTTTTAATGCCTTATAAAATATTTTAAAGAAACCTTAAAAAAAGTAGAATTTAAATTACAGAGTAACTTGTAGCTTTTGCTTAATATGCTTTTATGGATTAAAAAAAGTGTTACTTGAATTACCCACCTTTAAACGCACCTAAATATCATTGTAATCATAGATTAGTGGCTGGAGTGTCCCTCCATACCATATATATTATCAAAGAAGCCTTAAAATAAGTTAAATTTAAATTACAGAGTAACTTGTAGCTTTTTTTAATATGCTTTTATGGCTGACCATAAGTGTTGCTTCAATTACCCACCTTTAAGCGCACCCAAACCTCATTGTAGTCATAGATTAGTGGCTGGAGGGGCATGCCCCATATGTAATTGCAATGGTCCCCGGCTAAATAGCCAAATTGACGGCACTGTGCGTGACAGGCACTCACATATCATTTGTATCCTTTGTCTGCTGCTGCCATTTCATTGTTGCGGCCGAGCCGTCCTAATTAACGCGGCATCTTCTTTCGGCCACGCGCTCCTCTCGCTTGCCCTTTTTGCCGCGCGTGTGTCAGCTTCAGATACAGATACAAATACAGATACAGATACATTCTCAGATACGGATACGGATACAGATGGAGTACAAGTTACAGGCAGAGAGACACATCCGCAGATGGGCTTACACTATTGGATACTGCCTCTGTTTTCGGGACAAGGACGATACAAGGATGCTTAATGTATCTTGTCACAGAGTTCGACGTTTAAATTAACCAACAACAGCAACTGGGTGGAATTCGAGCCAAGCCGCCGCACGACAGGGTGATAAATTTAATTAATCATTCGCCGCTACCAGAACCCAACAGCCACGCCCCCCTCCATTTTCAGCCTGCCGCCCTTTCCCAAACGATGCCAAAAACAAACGTCAAAATGGCGGTCGCAGCGCCAAAACTTATGTTTCACCCACTTTCGAAAGTTCGTGTGTACTTTCGGTTACAGTGATTGCCGACTAATGCAATTTTTAGCATCCAAAAAAACACTAAACTAGGAAATTTCAATATTTAAATATTTACATTAACAAGAGATTTAAATGGGATTTACAAGGAAAGGACTAATTGCAATTGCCAACTATTTAAATACAATTTAATACTATAATTTAAAATAATAAATAAAGGGTACCTTAAGGGGATTATTTATTTATTATTTGAACACATAGAACCACTGTAAGCATCTGAGAATTTTGGGGGGCAGAGCGCGGCTTACTGTTCGGCGCTGTCATGTTTATGAGCGAGCATTAGAAAACCAAAAGGCGACACTTGACGCGGACTTCGTCACATTCCCCGCATCCGGAAAGGCCTCACCGTTTCCACCGCCTTTTCTCGGGCTGTTTCCCATTTCCCTGCGCCTCCTTTTCTCCGATTCCCCGATTCTCTGACGGTGACGGCTGCTTTGACAAGCGATGGTAGGAGACACAACAACAACAACAACTGAAAAACATCATGGAAACAACAGCAACAACCGACAGCAGCAACACGGAAAAACACAGCACACACAACACACACACATGTGTGCGTGTGTGTGGAAATTCTTTAAACAAATCGAAAAATTCGCACTTGTGTGTGCGTGCGACAGCTTGGTGAAAAAGTTGGCCCTTGTTAGGAGGAAATCATCAAAATGACACAAACAATTATTTAACTTTCGCTAGGCCGTGCGTGAGAGCTGTGACGTCACACGACTTACGACACACACACACAGACTTACACTTACATGAGTTTTGCCCCCTTTTTCCACAGTCAGTCCACGGCTTTTCCTCAACCCAGTTTCATGCTCCAGCGGAAGTTACAAGTTGGACAAATAGGCCTATTTAATTTAAAGCCTTTGCAGTGATTGGGGTTGCACAGAAGTCAGTTTGCCAAAGTCAATAGGAGCAGCTTTTATATGGTAGTTACGGATTCAAAAGGAAAACAAACCGAATTCATATCAATATTTCAACTGATTATTAACGATAGCAGATGGGAGAACAATGCAGTAGTTTTCCTATTGAAAACTCAATAACTGATTGCTGCTGGCAGATAGTTAAACACATGCCAAGGAAAAACTATAATAATTTCCTTGACAAATACATATGTAATTACCTATACACTTTCCGCTCAATAAATCCGATATGAGAATGTTTCAGGATGGAAAGGAAAAAACAGAAAGGCAGAGGGGCATGTGTCATCCCTTCAGCTTTGTGTCCGGCCCATCATCTTGGCTCTTCCCCGATCCGATTTTCCGCCATCCGTGCATTATTTTTAACTTTGACATGTGTTGGCTTTTGGCGAGGCCATCAACTCATCGTTTCCACACAAGTTCGGCATTATTCGCAGCCAGCGAGGGCAACAAAAAAAATAAATGGAAACTTTGTCGCAGGCAGGCGGAAACTTTTCACAAACTTGACAAAATGTGTCGCAGGCGAGCGAGTGTGTATTAGTTGGCGGGCATTAACATTAAATGACTGACAGGAATCAACACGGATGCCCCAAAGGAACAAGGGCTTTGGGAATTGTATCGATTGGGGGACAAAAACGAGTCAAAGGAAGGAATCCGAATGAGGAAGTGGTCCTTTTATTGGAGATTATCAAATAAACAGAATATAAGGAGTTCTTCAAAATGTTATACCCTAATGTAGAGATAGAGTAGTAAAAATCTTCATTGATTTTAAAAATAATAAATGTAAATCATAAACGTTCCCATTTTACTTCCATTGATTAAACACACAGAGCACTTTGCTTTAAAGTCGCACATAATTCAGGGTGAACATGCTGGGGAATCCTGGCCATCAACAGTGTGGTAGGAACAGGAAGCCCTTAAGCTGGCTCAGACCGATTGCAACACCTCCAAGATGCTTTATAACCCGAGAGCTATCTTCCTTCCTCCTGCAGTCCTTGCACCACCAGCATCCTTTTTGCCTCATAGGAAACAAATGAGCTGCCGTTGAGTTCATATTTTCCTGCAGATTTGAGATGCAGGAGTCATAGATATTTTGCCACACGATACACAGAAGAAAAATCTTTTGTATATATTTAGAAATAATGTGTACAATTAAATGAATATTGAACTTTTTCGAATTATTAAAATATGTTCCCAATGCGTTTAAAAATTGTTTACTTCCCTTTATGATTTGAATTCTTTAGAAATATATGTACATGCATTAAAATATGATTTTTTCTATTACCAAATATACGAAACACTTAATGATTTTCAGACCACTTTCTTAGCACTTTGCTGCCAGTTTTTCCCAGTGACACTCTGCTGATGTTTGCCCTTTGTTCGCAGGCTCCTTCATCTTCCTGACCATCGAGAACGAGGACTCCGCTCTGCTGCATCAGCAGCACACTCTGGCCAGCACCAAGCGCAACTTGGCTGGCCTCGGGATCGGAGTTGGAATCGGGAACAGTATCTACCAGCAAAGGACATCGCACCAACACCAACAGCAACAGCAACAACAGCAGCAGCAGATGCAGCAGCAGCAACATCAGGCGGTACAAGGACGTCACGGGGACAATGACACGGTGGCCGCCGCCGCCGCCGCAGTTGCCGCCCAAGGAATGTTGGCCGGAAGCGCCAACGGCGGGCTTAATCCATTCGGGCCCGGTTCCAGTGGCGATTTCGTTTACGGCGTGGACGATGCGACGGACTTGGAGGCGGGCGGAATGCCCCAGTTCGCCCTTTCGCCGGACACCTTCGACGTGCGGCAGCGGACCATCGAGAACATCTGGGACATCACCGTCTCGCTGAACATTCTCTACAAGGAGAACTGGACGAAGTGAGTACTTCTCAAATAGAACAATTAAAGAACAAAGAATAATTTATAATAAATAAATTAAGTTATTAATATACCATAAATTATAGCTATATTATTTTCACATTATTCAATACAACACAACTATTTGATTAAATTTTAATTCATGGCTTTCAAAGTATTTTGGCTTGAATAAGATTATAATAGTAGTGTATCATTAAATAACTTTATGATTCATTAATTTCAAATAATTTATAGATGCACTTAAGTTCGGTTTCACTTCACTTGCTCCACCATGCGCATACTTGATGCCTGCCACGTAGGCGTATACTTGATGCACGCAACTTGACTTACGTATACTTGATTTCACATCGATTTCCCTGCGTTACTCATGTGGTTCTCTCTCCTTCTCTCTCTCTCTCTCACACTCTCTCTCTGTTTCTCTCTCTTCAACCTTCTCCCCTGCAGATTAGCCGCACTTGAAATAGCCAAGTTTCAAGACCAATTAATCAAGAGACTGAACGAGGATGTTATGCTGCAATTATCGCACGACGATGTGGCCAACGGCCCCTCCTCCTCCTCCTCGTCGTCGTCGTCGTCGTCGGGCGCCTCTGGTGTTCCGGGCAGCAACAATCCGGCCACGGAAGCCGTGCTCCTTCACACACACTATCATCATCACCGTGCCGGCGGCGTTGGGGGCGTGGCAGTGGGCGGAGGACCGCCGCACGAGTGGAATTTTGCCAAAGCGTTTTTGTATTCGCTGACCGTTTTGACCACAATTGGTAAGTGCCAGTGGCCTTCTGCCTTTGCCATCGGCCAGCGACACAAAAAGGGGCGCTTGGGGTATAACCCCCTCCCCCCTCCCTTCTGTAAACAGGAAAGGAGGGAGGGAGGGAGGGAGGGGGAGGTGGAAACAGGATGGAAACAATGGCCCCGCTCTCCACACTTTTTTCTCTTCACGCTGGCTGTGGGCCATAAATTTGATGTTCCAGCAACGGAAATTTGTTTTACTTGAATGGCGAGTGCGCTCTTGTTTGCAGGATACCAAAGGCAATAGCGGCTGAAAGGGACCACTGCACTGAAAATACAAATAAGTAACTTCAAAAAGCCATCAGAAGAATCTTTTAGGAAGTGAGAAAGAATTTAGCTTGAGAGCACCTGAGCATATCAAAATGATTTTAAATTAAGTTGTACCTCGCATAGCTTAGCTTCTCAAGTTTAGAGAGTGTATTTCTTTCGGTGTATAAAATAGGGAAAAGGGGCGGGGGAAGTGGCGGGGGCCATGGGCATGACCCATACACCTTTTGACACCATCGCCTGAGTGCATTTGGGGCCGAACCGACTGCTGTTGTTGATGGCAACTAAGAGAATGGCGGAGTGGTCAAGGGGGGTGGCTCAAAAGGGCGTATAAATGTGGCAACCAAGGGGGAAAGGCTATAAACGGTATGCAAGTGGCGGCCAAAAGCGAGGAATCCGACGGTGGTGGTGGAAAGGGAAAGAGGCACCTGATGATGATGCGATCCCCTGGTCGCATCCATGATGCAGGTTGCAAAACGAAGCCGGAGTAATTCGTGCCATAAGAACTGCAGTGGTAATTGATTGATGTGCGTACTCGACGCGAAGCTTAAAGTGTTATCGTTTGCAGACAACGATTATTTATCGAAGGGATAACAAGTGTCTATCGGCAAAAAGGCAAATTGATGAATGCTATGTTTTTGGGGTATTAAACTGCAGATTATTTTTTCAGTTAAAGGAAGCATATTTACAATTCAAACAATATTTACATATATTCATTGATTTATCATTTATTTATTATTAAAGTGTTAAAGTGTTTTCTGACCTTGGTCGCTTTGTCCATTTAAAGTAAACACTCAGGTTGAGTTAACCGATAACCCTTTTTCATTTGAACCATTTTCCCTCCGCCTGATTGTTTCTAAATTCAAATAAAACACCAGATTTTCTTGGCAATCTTCTGCATACGCAATTGTCCGTCGTTGAGTATTCAATATCGGCTTTGATATAGATTCCCAGCTCTGTCCTTTCAATTACCGAAACTAATTCGATAAGACTTCGATTGCTGACTCTGTCGAGGATTTCTCAATTGGCATTTGTCAGCATTTGGGGACCCCTGCAAGCCCGTCGATTGGGTCCTGCCTCAATTTTAAATATTGGTTTGTGGAGGGCCAAAACTTTTAAGCCCCAACATCCATCTATCGACAGGGGGGATTTCCCGCACCTTTTCTCAAATTTCCCCGGCCTCTATGTTGCCAGTTGTCGGGTTTCCCAGGGAAAACGCCGTGTGCGTTTTTCCTCTCTCTCTCTCTGTCACTTGTACGGTAATTTCGTAGGCCAAAAAATAAAAGGAGCACAACAACAGCACAAGAAATAACAAAAAAAAAAAAAAAAAAAAAAAAAAAAATAAGAAATGAAGGAAGGCAAAAAAGCAAGCCGAAAGTCAAATATTGATAGAGCAAAACAACAAACGAAGCTATTTGCTTAGCCCGAATGGCCGAGACGCACACATCCAGGGCTTTATAGCGGCCTATAGCATATATAGTACATACTCGTACACATCTGTATGCAGGGATACATCGACACGACTTTCCACTTGTGAAAATGCTATAAAATAAAATTTGCAAAAATTTTCTGCTGATCTTGGCAGTTCATGCCAATGCGAAAAGGCCAGAAAGCAAATATAGGGCCAAGAGAAAACCCCACCCACCCAACCATCCACCCATCCACAGCCAACATTGCCACCCCCGCCCTTGCAAATGTGCATAAAAATGGGGGCGGCTGGGGGGCGGGGCAGTTTGCAATTGCGTTAGTCAGCAGACTGCCGGAACATTTGTATTAACATGACATCCTGCCAACGAACCAACCAAAAGCCAAAGAACCAACGAACCACCCACGCCTTGTCCTTGTCCTTGCTTATTATTATTATTATTATTGTTTTTGTGGGTTGTGTTTGTTTGTTGGTTTTCTTTTTTTTTGGGAGGGGGATGGAGGAAAGAGCCGGCCAGGCAGGTCTTCATTGTTCTCTGCCGGGCAGCCGGAGCAATATGATTATGATTATTGGTCCGTGCTTCTGGCCAGAGGACTAAGCCACTCGAGTACTCGAATGCATCGCCATGTTCCGAGTCCGCATATCCTGCAAAGGACTCGAGCTCTGTAAAGTGTAATGGGCCTTTGCGGGTGCTCTAAAATACAACTTCATATCTCTTTTATTTTTTAAAGGGTAATAAAGAAGCATACAGAATTTGCTTCGGATTTTTGGATTTTCTTAATAAAGGAAACCAGCTCCATCACTTTTCCATAATAGAGAAAAAGCCTCTCTTGAAAATACAAATATATTCTATATTTTGAATCTTGCTTATTAAACAGCTAATTGCTCTGCAAATTTATTTGATTTGAAAACCATTGTTTTAAGGGAAACCTGATATAAGGTTATGGTTTTGAGTCACATCGAGGGTATCGCCTATTCGATTTTCACTCAACCATACTCGTCCTCGTTCTCGGCGTGAGTTCTATGATTGTCTTGGGCATAAATGCGAATTTATAGGCAGCATGCTCCTGCCGCTCCTCGAGATTCCTTCGGCTGTCGCTGGCACAATAAATAGGACTCCGGATCGGGATCGGCCAATCCCCTGGACAGCAATAAGACAAGTAATTTAGTTGCAAAATAATTTTAAATTTCATTTTCCACTTTCACACAGAAAAGGAGATGGAGAACGAAGAACGTAGAACGAGGAACTGAGTTGGGGAGTTGAAGGAACTGAGGCACCATTTCCACATTCACTATCATCAATTGCGCATCTTTGGGGCCCAGCGATTCCGTTTTATGCTCCGCCATTTTGTGTTATGTGTGGGCATAACCGAAGGACCATCGATATATAAATGGGCCTCAATGAGGAGGCTGGTTGGGCAGGGGGACTGCGAGGATAAACCGAAGTCGAAGGCAGATTAGGTCTAGTTGTTTATGGCGGGAGTGTGTGTTTAAGCTGCGACCGGGTAATTGTATTTACTTGCCCACACGCGCACATTCGATAAATAATTCACTCGCCTATCGGCTTAGTCCCCCATCCCTAATCGCGTCCATAAGCGCTGAAAGCGATTTATTTGCATAACCGATAAATACCTATCGAAACGGAATTGAGTGCGCAACTTTGTGGGCAAATTGAACTTCCCAAAGTGGAGTTGTAATGGCAACAAAGCGAACTTATTTAATGGCAGTGTAATGGGTAAATATGTGGGTGATTTTGTTTAAGTACGAGTAGTTTTATGTGAACTTACCTTATACATATTTGAAGGGCTTCTAGTCTAGGTAAAATGTCAACTAAAATAGCGTAAGATTAAAATATAGTTCAGTAATTCCGCTTTTAAATAACACATTTCAAAATGATCCCATTCAGTAGTTGGTCCCTTTCTGCCGGAACATTCAGATGTTTGAGTCTGCGCCTGCCTTCACGATATTGAAATCTTTCAATATCCTTCAATAAAATATGTAGATGCCCTCAATCCCCCACGCGTTCCCCTCCCTGTCCTCGAGTTGCCTCGATATCCCGGCAAATTGACAGCGCGGCAGCTGAGTTTTACAGCCCCCTCGAGTCGGGTCAATGGCAATATTATTAGCCATGGGCGGTGGAAGGGGGTTGAAGTGAGAGTGTGCTGGATGATGGGCCGAAGTTGGGCCACACTCCCCGGCACAGTGGTGCAAATAAATCAGCAAAATGTTGCCGAAAATCTTGCCCTAGATTGATTTATGTCCCCCCCAGCACAACAATGGCCCACTGTGCGGGGTTGGGGGGATTTGGGGGATTGAGGGATGGGAGGGGGAGGGGGAGGGGGGAAAAGGATGTATCGGATGTATCGGTGGGGGTACTGCGAAGGATGCTGAGCTGTCGCCTGCTTTGTGACACATTGACATTTTGGCCATGTGCAGAAGAAGGGGGGATTTCATTTAAATTTGCTGTCAACGCAATTACATGGTTACCAAGGTCTCCGAAATCCGCTTCCTGTTTCGTTCACTGTTGCTGATTTTGAGTGAAGAACACCCTCTTACACTAAGAGAAAAACAATCCACAAAGAAATTAATTATTATGGGATTTTGTTATACAAATTGAATTTATTATATTATTAATTACTTAAAAATTTGTAATTTGAGAAAGAAATCTATGTAGCTATGAGTATATTTGTTAGGACATAAGAACCTTTTAGTTTTTTATTATTTATTTATTTTTTTCCTGTGCATACACACCCCCATTTCACTTTTTTTTAGGACAACAGGAGCCGGAGGCACTTGAGCCCTGCCACATGTGATACACCCATATTGATTCGATTCATTTGCCGCCACAGCTTCCTTCCAATCTCGAATGACTCACTTCCCTCTGAGGCAACATTTGTTCAATAAAAAAAATAGAAGACGCGGCAAGCGATAAACCACGCCCACGTGTAAATAAAATATATATATCGCGAAACCGCCGTCAGAGAAATACGAGAAAAAGAAACAATAAAATTAAGAAATTTTCAAATTTATGCATGACACACCTGACAACAACGATTGTCCATGTGTGTGTGTGTTTGTGTGTGTGTATGATTGCCACGCCCACCTGCTCAATTTTGTACCCCGCCTCTTGTATTTTTTTCTCCACCTTCCTTAGGGAATTTCCGGCCTTAAGCTTGTTAAGCATTTTTATTGCCTCTGCCAGCTTAATTATTTTCGGTGGCCCTTGCAACATGGGGGAAATTGGAAGAGGGCAGGGGGAGAAAAGCCGGAGTGGGGTTATTCCGGGCTTATATGTGAAGTTACGGCTCATTTGGGTAATGTCAATAAGTCGGATCTCTCGGGGGAGTCGCACAAATTGACTTCTGGCAAATTAATGTGGGAAAATCCAAAAGCCAAAGGCGAAAAAAAGGAAATTGTTAATGGACAAAAAATGTCGGAGGCGAGTCTTTAAATATTCGCATAAATACCTGGCTTTTTAGTTGAACTATTCTTTAAATACGAAAACAGGATTTACTGCAAGTCTCTTTTAATGGAGATTCCATGAAATTCGATAAATACAAGAATATTACAAATTGCTTTATCCCCTTCGGTTATTTCATAATATTTTCTAAAACCTTTCCAATTAACGCCTGCATATTTGTTCACTCGCCAGGATATGGAAACGTCGCACCGCGGACGACTCTCGGGAGGATCGTGACCCTGGCGTACGCCTTCTTCGGCATCCCGCTGACCCTGGTCTACCTGAGCAGCACGGGCAGCATCCTGGCGCGGGTGGCCCGCGAGGTCTTCTCCAAAGCGCTGTGCTGCTGTTTATGCTCGAATTGTGGATACTGCTGCTACGACGAGAAGCGGATGGCCGAGAAGGAGCGGCGGATGCGACGGAAGCGGCAGCAGGAGGAGCTGCGCAAGCAGCAGGCCGTCATGCAGGAGCCCTACTACGTGCGGGACGTCTATCATGCCACGCCCGAAAAGGACGCCGTTCCGGGAGCTCCGCCTCCGAATGCCGGCGGTGCGGGAGGATCTGTCGGCGGACTGGGCGACATTGACTCGCTGAGCGCCAGCGAATCGAGGGGCTCCATGCACGGGCTGAGCATCCTGGCGCCGATCCTCCTCTGCTTCTCCATGATGATCATTTACATTGTGTTCGGAGCGGCCGTGTTGTATCGCTTGGAGAACTGGCCCATCCTGGACGGCATCTATTTCTGCTTCATGAGCCTGTCCACCATCGGTTTCGGCGACATGCTGCCGGGTCTGCGCAGGGAGTCCAATGCCACCACCTGGTTCTGCTCGGTCTACATCATGTCGGGCATGACCCTCACGGCCATGTGCTTCAATGTCATCCACGAGGAGATCGTCCACCGCATCCGCATCGTGGTGGAGTTCAAGAAGACGAGTGCCGCCAATTCCGGCGGCAGCTTGTCAAATCCTGGTGGTGGTGGTGCGGGTGGTGGTGCCGGCGGTCCCGGCGGCTCAATGATGGACGTGGCGCACGAGGAGGGCGGCCAGTATTACGTGCCCGCGTCTTGACACTACGAGAAGCGAGGGCATCTCTACCAGCGCAACCCCACCGAAGAGACACTGGTGACAGGTGAGGGTTGTTTTGGGGGAGATTACCACATGTACTCTTCACAAGGGGTTACCCAACTAAATTTCCCTTGGTTTGGTTCTTCGAGCTGGGATTAGAAATGCTGCATACACAATTATTTATATTTCAAAAAAAAAAAAAAATATATTAAATAATTTAATAAAAAAAAAAAAAAAAGACCGGCTCGTAGGACCAATTCTACTTTAAATTGATGCACAATAATAAGTTTATAACGATGAACTCCCAACCTCCACAGACACACCCACATCGCTGGTGCTGAAGGACTACGTGAACCACGAGCTGGTGCCCATCCTCACGATGGACCCGAACAGCGCCCGCTTGGCCCCCGCCCCCGTCTACACGCCCGCACCGCCCTCGTCGGCGTCTGCGATTGGCGGTGCGGCAGGGGAGGTGACCACGCCTGGGAACAGCTGCATTGCCCACGGCAGCGATCCGGGCTTGGGCTACTCCTCGCTGAGCAGTCCGCTCCTCGATGTCCTGACCACGCCCACCGGAGCAAACGCCTCCGGGGTCTACACCCTTGCCGAGGAAACGGAACTGGAGCTCCAGGAAACGCAGGTGGACAGGGAGCGCATCTAAAAGAATAAGAACGCGAAGAAAAAAAACGCCAACGATAAAAGTATTTAATCGACGGATCAGTATTAGTTAGAGATTAGCCTTAGACATAGTCCTAAAACCCTAGATCGAATTCGTATAGTGTGTAAAGTGTAATGACTACTTTTTTTTGTTTTTTTTTTTCCTGCCCCCCTAAAAATTGTGTGGGTGTTTAGGATGTAAGAGTCATAAGTGTGCGTCTGTGTGTGTAAGGGGGAGTACCCCCTCAAAAAAAAAGAAAACAAAAGAGTAAAAACCAAACCGAGTCCCGTTGGACCAGCAAAAGGATCGTAGCATAAGTCGAACTATCACTGTACATACTATTCGTATATATTGTAGCCGAGGCGAAGACACATTTCCATAGCTCCTAAGCAGATCAACCGATTGTAAACAGAGGCCCCCAGAAGATACCTAGTCAATATAGTTGAAGATACGACCCAAGATAAACCAAAACTAAGAATAGCTGTTATATTTCAAGTGATCAGTGCAGCGAGAAAATGAATTCAAACAAATTGTGGGAGGTGAGGTGATCACACTATTATTTACTATGATTGTTTTCCACAAATGTTTATTGTTTTAAAGAACCTGTTTTTTTCCAAATAATATACATGTATAATAATGTTTAATATTTGCCTAATTTTTATAGTTTACATGTAACATGTGTTACATGCTATATCTTTTTACGAGCATTTTAATAACTGTGATCATTGCAGTTCCCACTTTCTTCACTCTTTGATAATGCGAAACTAGTGTTTCTCAATGTGCGAATAAGTCTAGAAATTCACCTTTTTTTTATGCGTGTAATCAGAGAGCCCGAAACGCAACTACATAATCCGCAGTATCCATACCTAATCAACACACATTTTATACGTAAATCAAGCTTAGTAAAATTACAATATATGTACTTAAAACGTGAAAAATATGCTACCAAAAAAAGATATATATATATATATATGGAAATACGTCTAGGTAATTGTTTTTTTTTTTTTAATTGTAATAAGCATAAATGGAAGAGAGGAAAATTAAACTATGCATACATATTATCAATGAATTTGAATTCATAAATTTAAATACATGTTTGAAACTACAAAAGTAAACTATGAAACGAAAAAGAAAAAACACAACTTGCGTAACTTTGTAAATGTTGAAATATACCCCACTGTATATTTATGACAAGTGCAGCAGTGAAATAAAATCAATAAAAACTTACAAAATGTTTCTCTTTTTAAATTTCGCGCGCTTTTTTACTTTAACTTGGCAGTGGTTCTTGTCTTGACTTTTGTGCTGTTAACTTTAGCATTGCGCTGTTGAGCGCTGGAATGGCACTGTAAATAAATCGAAACCATTTGTTATAGAATCTTTGCGTTTCAGTTTTTCAGGCTTAAGTCTGACCTAGATAACTCCTAAAATTGTACTTACTGCTGTTTATTAAACATTGTTTTGTACTTTTTTTTAAACAATTTTTCGAATGTATTGACTTTAACATTTTGCACCTTTAACATTTTCCCTTTAACTGTAGTTAAGCCTTAGCACGTTAGCCAACACTAAACCACCATTTTACATTAACCGTTACAATATTTTTCGCGTGCCTTTGTTTTAATTTAAAGTTAAGAATTTTACTATAGTTCGTATGATGGATTGGATGCTGATCATATCCATTCTGATAAACTGTCTTTATGTTTCTGCACATGACGAGGATTGTCCCTCGTTGGCCGATGGGGATAGTTTGTCGCAGACACAGTTGCTAGATCACTTAACCCATGGCTGCCGGTACGATCGCTTGGAGAGGCCCATAACCTATTCGGAAACTGGACAACGCATGCCGGTGGACGTCTATATGCGCGCCTACATCTATTTCATGCAAAACCTTGAGGCCCACGATCTGCAGTTTAAGATCTATGCACTTCTGCAAATGCGGTACCTTGATCCGCGTCTCAATTTCCGAAATGTGAGCCCCAAAAGAAGACAACCGATTATGGGTGAACAACATATGAGGGACTCACTCTGGATGCCCCACATATTTCTGGCCAACGAAAGGGATTCTAGTATTTTGGGTGAGTTATAAAATAACCATTCCTCTAAATCGCAATCACTATAACAAACATTAACCCCTTGGTTTTTAGGTCTCACTGAGAAGGATATTCTCACCTCGATTTCCCCCGATGGCACCGTGATTGTCTCGAACCGAATTAAGGCCACATTATACTGCTGGCTCAACCTGAAGAAATTCCCATTCGATGAACAGCACTGCTCCACTGTTCTTGAAAGTTGGATGTACAACACCTCGGAACTGGTGCTCCATTGGGAGCAGAAACGGCCGATCACCTACGATAGCGCCCTACACCTGACCGAGTTTGTGCTGCAGCGATCCTGGTCCAATGAGACGGTGATCAATGCCGATTTGAGCGACCTACGACACGGAGCATTTGCCGGGAACTACAGTTCCCTCAGCTTCACGGTTCACCTTACTAGAGTGGTGGGCTTTTACCTGATGGACTACTTCCTGCCCTCTATGCTCATTGTGGCTATATCCTGGGTATCCTTCTGGCTGCAGGCGGATCAGGCTCCACCGAGAATCACTCTGGGCACGAGCACCTTGCTAACCTTTATAACTCTGGCTTCCGCGCAGGGTAAAACGCTGCCAAAAGTTAGCTACATCAAGGTGTCAGAGGTGTGGTTCCTGGGCTGTACCATCTTCATTTTCGGCAGCATGGTTGAGTTTGCCTTTGTCAACACCATTTGGCGTCGCAAGAATAGTGTACCCGTTAAGAAGTTGAACAGTAAACACATCCTGAAGTCCACATTATCACCGAATTTGCGAAGACGGCGCAGTCACGCGAGGTCCAGATCGTTTTCGGGAACTGCTTTTCCAAAATCCGGTGATACCAGCTCTTTGGGCGGTGCTAGTTTCAACAATTACCTAACAGTCAATCTGCCCATCACAACGATTAAGGAGGGACAGGTTCTGGATCAGCAGAGGACCAGGGGAATCCAAAAACTGGACGTTAACTTCGTGGAGAGTGCCTTCGGCTCGATGGGAGCAGCTCAGTCTACGGGAGCCATCAGTACAGCAACGAGCACACAAACGCTGACTAATAATAATCGACCGGATCCCGTTGGACACCAGGAGGAAATCGACTTGAGCGGCTGGACAACATTGACACCGCAGGAAATCGCCATGTGGATTGACAGCCGGGCGAGATTCGTATTTCCCTTGGCTTTTCTAGTTTTCAACTTGTTCTTTTGGACATTTGTCTACTGCATTTAAATTTTAAACTGTGTTTATAAGTCGTTGTAAAAAAGTGTTATTTAAAGCCTTACACCTTATTCTATTATGTTTAATTATGGTCAATGCTTTGAATTTATTGTTTGCCTGTGTTTCCTATTGTATTGTTTCTCTAATAAGAGTTTAATGTCTCGATTTTATTACATTGTTAAATAAAGAAATGCTTATGAGCAACGAAGTTTTTTTCATTCAACAAATTCTGAAAGTGTAGTAAAATGTGGAAAATAGTCTTTTACACTTATGTATGTTATGTTATTTAAAAACTTTTTTTGTCCCGCCATATATGCACACAAAAATATCGATAGAAACATCGATAGCCCGCTAAAAAAGGCGAACCTGTGCGTTAGAGCAGCACCACTATACCACTGAAATCTATATTCGTGTTCGTTTTTTCTCCCACACACACACACACGATACACGCACACAGCGCAACAATAACATCGGGCCCCAAAAAAAGACGGACAAAACTTCGTCGTGAATTGTAAAATACAAAAAAACCGCATTCGAACGCGCTGGTTTGTTTTTTTTTACGTGTAACTACGCCAAAAAAAAGCAGGGAAAGGAATTAAGCAGCAAAAAAAGAACGGTGCAGCAGCAACAACAACAGCACCCATGTATGTGCAAGTGCAAGGCAAACATAAACAACGGTGAAGAGGATAGGTGTCGTGTGTGTCCGTGCGCGCGTGTGTGTGTACAACGAAAATATTGTATAAATCAAATTTATATATAATATTTTTTGTTTTGCCATAGAGTGATCATTTAAATAAAAAGCAATAAAACATAAGTTTGTCAAAAAAAAAAAAACAAGGTATCTTTGCATTGTGTTTACAAAAAAAATATTGGACAAAAAAAAACAACAATAAATAAAGACGGTGCTTCTGAATGCTAACCGGTAAAGATAGCGGTAAACTGCGAGGGGGAAGGACAAAAACAAAAAAAAAGGCAAAGGAGGCAAATAGCAGCAGGGATAACAACAACAACGACTCCCGCCCACTACTTCCAGTGCATCTTCCTGCTCCTCCTCATCTTCCCGATTTGCGGTTATAATGGACACCATCTGTAGATTGTGCTTCCAAACGGCAACGGTATGTTAACAAAAATATGATATATACACAGACATACGATACATACGTTTGTCGATATGTACATACATAACAGTTGTGTATTTTGTTATTTCTATTGATTTTTTTATTTTTCGGGGAGTTTAAACAATTGAATTTGCGCTACTGTTTTTCTTCGATGGGAGCGACGGGAGCGGCGGTTGAAAAGCGCGCGCATTGCCCCCCTTTCCCACTTTCAAATAATAAATACATATACGTGGGCAAACAATACACACACATGCGACCCCAAACTATTGCTGAACAATTTTTATTTTTAGCCAACTCAGCCCGAAAAGTTGTTCAAGCCGACAACTTGAAAAAATATTATTTTTACATTTTGCTTACGCTTGGCGCTCGCTTTTCACTTTGACTCCTTTTCAACCTTCCCCCTTGAGCCCCTCTGCCCTCCGCCTCCCATGAACCGTACAAAAAGAAATACATAATAAAACAAAATGACAGAAATTGCGCCAAGGCAGCCAAGAGACAGTGGCTGCGAGGGGGTTTAGTTTTAGGGGTTTTTGATAAATAACAGTGAAGTGGGGATTTTGTATTTTGTGATACTGATAGCTTTTTAAGAAGTAAAAATTATACCCATATAAGAAATAAACACACAGATGCCAATAGTAATCAGTATATGATTACTTATAATTTTTAAATTTTAGATTGTTCTGTGGAATCTTAAACTTTAATTATATCTAGAATAAAAACCCTTGTTTTCCTTGATTAAATTGTAAATAAATAAATACGCAATGGAATTGCTTAATTCTCGAACCCCTTTTTTTGGATACGCTACTGCTTCGATTGCTGGCAGAGCGGCGGCAAAACAAAACAAAAAGCGAAAGAATAACAAAACGTTGTACCGAAGAAAAAAAATAACACGAAATGAAAACAACAACAACCTGGTGCTGTTATTGTTGTAGTATTTTCTTTTTTCTTCTTTTTTTTATTCTCACATGAATGTGTATGTGTCTGCGTGTGTGTTTATCTTCTTGGTTGTTATTTCTAGTTGGATGGGAAAGAAAAATGGTAGAGGGGGAATGAGGTTGAGCTGCCACAATAAATAAAAAGCATTATTGCTATTGCGTTTTGCCTTTGCTTTTTTGCTACGTTCAAAAACTCCAATCGGAAGACTTTTTAATGCTGGGTTCGTTTTTCGTCCCGTTTTACAGTTATTCCAGGTGCCCGGCTATAGCATACCCACGTGCGTCCGCTGCTCGGAGCAGTTGACAAACAATTCCAACTTCCATCAGTCGGCGGCAGCAGCGGCCGCAGTCGCTGCCTCAGCCACTGCTGCAGCCGCCGCCAGCGCAGCAGCAGCGGCCACCACCTCCTCAACGGCATCCTCCAGCGACAGCGACGCCGTCGCGCAGCAGCATCCTCAGCAGCAGCAGCACCAGAACCCGCAGCAGCAGCAACAGCAACAAATGCAATCATCCAGTTCTTCCGAGAACCTACAGTCGCAGGACGACTCTGAAGAAGTAAGTCCTTTCTGAAAAACGAAGATACAGTTAATATAGTGTTTGACAAGTTGTGGTCAAAGAAAAATGAAAGGAAAAATAATTTACATGCATATAAGTACATATCTACATAAATATGTATAACTCCGTTCTTTTAGTTTATCAATTCTAAAACCATTCGATGAAGAATATTCTTAAGATATTTATTTTTTGATCAGAGTAGGATGAAGGTATGCACGACGAAAATATGTCCGGAAATAAGAACTCTTCCAAAAACTAAGGTTCATGATTTTATGGGTTGAATAGCATGATAAACTCAAAAGTACATACATTTGTGTGTACATAAATACATACATATATACTTTTTTATGTGATTAGATAATATAATAATAAGGTAAAATAAGAAAGTAACTTAGTCAATAGGAAAAACATAAGTACATATTAAATAAACTACATCTGTGTGTCAGTATCTATGTACTGATATACACATGTACAACCTATTTTTAAAATCCAATTAATAAAATTACATTCTAAAATATGGATGATAACCAATTCAAAACTAATTACCAAGTCCAGGTTAGCTGGAAAGCCCCTTTGATTTACTCCAGTTGGATTGGTTGGGGGCTTAAATACCCACTCTCCCCCTTTGGGGAGACACACCCCTGGGAATTTAACTCCCGCTCCTTCTGCTGCACTTGTTTATTATTGTTGTGCTATTTTTCTCTCTTTTTACTTTTTACTACTCCCCCACTCACAAAAGGAATACATAAATACATACATACTGCACATTCATAGCTCTGCTTCTTATTCCACTTCTTATTTCGCCGTTTCTTTGCATGTTCTTGTTGCCTTTCTTTTCCATCATGCAACAGAGAACTGCAAAAAAAAAGTATAAATAAATTAAGAATGGGTCACGTCGAATTTAGGGAATACTCTTTTTTTTTTTAATAGTAATACACATAAGCCAACAATCGTATTTAAAAATTTAAACTTTTGGAATACCCACATACTCAATAAGCTTTGCTTTTTAAAAAAAACCCGATTGTGGTTATCCAAAATTTGTTATTTTTTTTGTAGTCTTGTTTTTTTTTATCATAAAGTAGGAAATATTTTTTTACAAAACGCCTAGAAAAATATCTAACTACAGAGTATATTCTTATCCACTTGCTACTTTTTGCACTGCTCATTTTCTTGTTTTCCTTTATATTTATATATATGTATATATACACATATATTTTGTGCTTCTTTTTCCATTAATATCTGCTCTGCGACGTCGACGTCGAAGCCGGCGTATCTCGGCGTTTTTGTGAGCTGTGTAAAGCGGAAAAAATTCATTTTCAGTTGACGCTATTGGTGTGTGGGTGTGCGTAGCACGCAAAAAAACAAGAAAATACAAGGAATAACACAATAATAACAATAAATAAAAATAGTGAAAAATATTAAATATAATTCGAGTGATTCCGCAATAAACAAGCTGAATTCGCACGGGAATTTGCAATCCGTTCTTTTGGCCGCCAGCTTGTTGAGCGTAAGTGGGAGGGGAATAGTGATATTGTGTGGTTAATTAAGCTATTCTAGTGCCAGATTTGAATACATTCGTGTCAAGTTTAAAATGTCTTATAAATAACGAAAAACTGGAGTAAATAAAAAAAACAAACAGTAAACAAAACATCTACTTTGTACCTATTCTTCAAGGTGGATCTGATATTCAACGAGGAGGGCTCCTGCCCGCTATGCAACAAAACTTTCTCGCGCAAATCCTCGCTCATGACGCACATACGAAATCACTCGGCGGAGCGTAAGTTTGTGTGCACCTACTGCCACAAAGGTGGGTTAATATACACAGTTTTTATATACCTTTTGATAAATCCGAACGATTCCTTCGACTCACAGGCTTTACGCAGGCTGCTAACTTGCGGAACCACGAGCGAATCCACACGAACGATCGGCCATATCAGTGCGTGGATTGTGGAAAGACCTTCACTCAGATCACCAACCTGAACAATCACCGTAGACTTCACACTGGAGAACGACCTTTCGTCTGTAATGAACCGGAGTGCGGTCGAAGTTTCGCCCAGGTGAGATTAGGAGAACATACTGTAGTTTAAATACTCCTAAGAAAGCATGTAGTAGTTTTCTAGTTAGTTGCCTCACATACAATCCACGATTTAAATTCTCTCTCAATTGCAGGTGACGAATCTGAACAACCACATGAAGTCGCACCACAAGGTGCAGCAGTACTGTTGCAACATGTGCAATAAGAAGTTCACGCAGGTGACCTCGCTGAACCAGCACCTGCAGGCGCACGCCGGGGTCACCGGCTACTATTGCCCTCGCTGTCCGGAGAAGAACTTCAAGCTGCAGTCGCAGTTGCACACGCACATGAAGACGCACGGACTGGCCTTTCCCTACGAGTGCGACAAGTGCGACGAGAAGTTCCTGCAGCAGGCGCACCTCGATCAGCACCTCAAGATGCACGACGAGTTCAAGTTTAAGTGCGACATCTGCCCGAGCAGCTTCAACCAGGAATCGCTGCTGAAGAAGCATGTTCAGCGGCACGTCGAGGGGCGCTACCTCTCGTGCCCGGTGGCCAACTGCACCGAGTCCTTTGCGGTGCGCCAGCACCTGTCCAAGCACCTGCTCACCAACCACGCGCACCACGAGCTGCCGCCGCCAAAGCGCTCCAAGAAGTCGGTCACGTTGCAGACGCCGCAGCAGCCGCTGGCGATGATCGGCCAGCCGTTGTCCCTGCAACACACGACGGGGCAGCGTAAGTTCAAGATTGGCTAGAGTCCTATTTAATAAATCACTCAATATTTCACTAATCACTGTTCTCACTTCTCCAGGTGGTCGCCCGCCGAAGAACAAGAACAAGGCGGCCACGCTGGCCGCCACGGCCATCAAGATTGAGATAAACGAACCGCTCCACAGCCAGCATATCAGCAGTGTCAGCGGCCTGTCTATCCAGCAGCAGATCAACCAGCACATGCAGCAGCAGGCGGCACAGCAGCAGGCGGCGCAGCAACAGCAGCAGCAACAACAGCAACAACAGCAGCAACAGCAGCAGCAGCAACTGCTGCACCTGCCGATGGGTCAGGCGGTCAAGGCGCGCTTTATACCCACTAAGTAGGATAGTTAAGGATGGAAAGGTCTCTCTAAGCTTAAGCCCCGAACGATCGATCAGCTGCTAAAATCCCTGATTAGCCTAGCCATAGCCAAAGTAGCATCACATCCAACCAACCACACACTCACCCACAGAAACTACACAGGCAAGACATGATATTGCGGATTGTTCGAAAGCCTCTAGAGTCCCCAAGTAGTTTTGGTTGTCTGAAATTGTAAAAACTATCTTAAAAATTGTATTACAAAAATAATTATAATTAGTTAAAAAGCATAGGTATCTAACTTAAATTCTAGGGCGTGCTAAATGTGTTTTATACTTAGAAATAATTTCAATCAATTATTCATTATTCAATTATTCAATCAATCAATTATTCAATCATTATTCAGAAATTTCCACAAAGAAGAAATAGCACCCCACATTTTTTAACAAAATTGTTTGAAATGGACTCTGGACTCTTTGAGCATCTCCAATTTAGAGTCCGGCGGCAAGCTGCTGGTTCAGTTTGGTGTCTGTCTCCTTTTTTCTCTCACGTTTCCAACCAAAGCAATAGACAACCCAAATATCCCTCAAATAAATTTAAAAGAAATAATAAATCCAGCTATCCTATAGAACAAAAAGCAGCACCAGATGGACAGACAAAAACTCAACTGACTCCAAATTATGCACATAAACACATCCACATCTATATATATTATATATACATGAGATCAGGTTGAGGATATGTAACTTAAATCGAATTAAAATTTCAAAAAATTGCAATGGCACAGCGAAACGGAAATAAAATGTTGAAAAAATCAGAAAGTAAATACAGATTACCTATACTTAAAATTAATTACGCATAGAGAAAAAGCAACAAAAACAAGAAGTAACAAAAAATTCGATTGAATTTGGAATGTATTTATGTTAAGCATTAGCTTAAGTGTTTTTATTTTTTTTTTTAATAAACCATTACAAAAAGCAACCTAAAGAAATGAAACAAGTTAAGGCAAAAACGAAATTGTTTTTTGATTTTACTAAGGGGATGGTTGAAACTGATAATAAACAAGGGAGTTAGCAAATAGCAGACTTGGGCAGTTTTATATACATATATAATTTATTTGCAAATACATTCCATTTAAAAAAGATAATAAATTTACATTGAGCTTAGGCTAGACGAGCAGAGGCGATGAGGCTAACGAGAAACGATCAGCAAGTCGGGCTCAATTCGAGATGAGTATATTTGGCTCGATGGAGTGCAGGACGTTGAATCCTTTGTGGAGGATGCAGGTGCGCTGGACACCGCAGGCCAGCAAGAAATGCGAGAACTGTAAGGAAAGAAGAAGATTACTCCTGGTTGCACAGACGATTTCGCCTCATTTTTTTTGTGGACAGTCTCACCTCCACGGAGTGCTGATGGATGTTGCTCACGCAGACCACGATCTTGCCACGGAGTTGAGACTCCAAGTGCGGCACCTGGAGCGCGTCCAGGCGCTGTTCGCCCAACTGGACGGTGGCGAACGGAATGTTGATGCTGTGCGGCACGTGGACGCGTCCGAACTCCACCACACTGCGCAGATCGACGAGGGCCAGCTCCGCCGGCGAGTTTTCCAGCAGAAACTGCACATCCTTGCCGCTGATGCGAGGGCATTGTTCCTTTTGCAGGTGCTTCAGTTCCACGTCCGCAACGCCAATGTCCTGCAAGGTTTCGTTTTTGTTATAAAGCTGCTTATCCGATTGGGTTGAGCAAAGACTAACCAATGCCTGCGGCGGTTGGAGACGCAGGGCGTGCTGGCGGTGAGTAATACTCTTCGGCGTGGCCTCGTACATCTTCTGCGACTCCAGCACACAGCCATCCATCACAATGTCCGGCAGGTCCGAAAAGAGCAGGATGCACTCGTTGAAACCGGAGGTGAGCAACGTGCTCCTCAGCTGACGTAGAATAGCAATGCCAATGAAGAGCGGGTACGAACTGTCGCCCAGCATGAGTTTGTCCCACAAATGCAGGATCTTGTGCAGCGGAAAGACGTCTGCAAAGGGAATTGAGTGGCATTAAAAGCTGGAAACTCTTCCAATTACGAAGTGTGTGTGTTAAACTCACGCGAAAACATCGTGAGGAACCAGGGAATGGCGAACAGCTCGGGTATGAAGTTAATGCTGGCCAAATGCTGAGCGAGGAGCGGTTCATGGAAGGCGGTCAGCTGTGAGAACTTGCTCAGGTACTCCTTAATCACTGCCGAATTGTCCTTGAGGAAAAACCATTGCAAATACTTCGGAATAAACTTGAACAGGCTGAGAAAGGCCAGCTCTAAGAGAAGCAATCGAATATAGGGTTACAAATTTAAGATATTGTAAAGGAACTAAAGCAAGCTGAACCCACCTTCGTTGTTAAAGTTAAGATAGAGAAACGGCGCCGTCAGCGAGTCCAGTCCCTGCCAGTAGACATATTGCGGATGGGCGGTGACCCAGGCCTTGAGCAGCCGCCTCAGCTTGCGATGGCCATCGGGCGAGGAGAGCAGCTCGTCGTACTGGTGGCAGCGCGGTATGTCCACCTCTATCTGCCGGTCCGTGCTGGTGGCCGTGAACTTGTCGATCTTCGCGTAACTTCCGTTCGGCACCACCTCCAGCAGGGCCGCCCAAATGGGACCCCGCAGTAGCGGCGGCACATCCACTGCCGCCTCGCGTTGCAGGTGCTCCGCTGTGTGCGGATAGCCTTGCAGGAGTCGCGTAAACAGTCGCACCCGCTGGAACTGGTACTCGATGTCCTTTTCGCGGATCACCAGCGGCAAATCCTGCAGTTCGCGGGCAAAATGGGCGGGAAAGCGCGGCGAGTGCAGCAGCGGAAAGTAGACGGCGGCGGGCAAGCGACTCAGTCGCTGGAGCAGCGCCTTCAGGCGCAGCGGCACCACGCGATCGTCCATCAGCTGGGCCTGACTTCGCCCGGGACAAACGCTGGCGCCGCTCAGTCGAACGATCTGCGGCAGGCCCAAAATGGGCGCCTCACTCCGGATAAGACCCTCTTTTTTCAGCTCCGCTTGGACATCGCCGCCAGCCAGTTGCCAAAGGTGGTAGATCTGCGACAGAGGACATCGCAGGAGTAGAGGTAAATGCTCGGTTTCCACGCTTAATGCTTGGGTTTTTTCCTTTTTCAAGTCCAAAATTACTGCCTCGAATAAGGCATGTTTTATGAGCTCCTCCGGCTGCGGTCTCCTTTTGGGAAGGACACTCAAACAGCTTTCGAGCAGCTCGCGCAGGCTGCTGTCCATTTCCGCATATCGTTCGTGGCACTGATGCTCCCGCGCAATCTTCTCCAGCACCCCGTTGCTCCGGCCAAAGGCGAGGATCTTGCGGATCACATTTGAGATTTTCAGCTTTGGCCACAGTTCGATTTGAAATATCAGCTCCACTATCAGCATGGCTAGCGACCAAATGTCGCTCTTGACGTTGCCATTTAGCCCGAGCAAGCGCTCCGGTGCCATGTAGCGAATATTGCCAATGGGAAAGGGCACATAGGCACCGCCCTTGGTCATGTGATGCAGTCCGTAGTTGAAGAGCTTCACCCGCTGGCAGTCGTCGGAGAGGAGAACGTGCTTCGGCTCCAGGTTGTGGGCCACCAGATGGTGTTGGCTCAGAACGTCAATGCCGCAGGCCACCTGGTAGAAGATCCTCAGGATCTGGGCGATCGCAAGTGGAGGATGTCGCTTGGCGTAATCCTCCAGGGACAGGCCCAGATACTCTGAAACCACTATCGTGCGTTCTGAAAAAGAAAGAGCGTTTTTCGGCTTAACTAATTGACTCAAACTATGCCATAGGATTGATGGGGGCTTTCAAATTTGACGAAAATGTTTCTATTTGTGGGTGTTTTATACGGGTTTTGGATGCTTAGTACGTGGCCCTAGGAGACGATTTGGAGTTTCTAGTAACCCACCATGCTTGCCGCGAATCACATCAAGGTACTGGCACAGGTGTTCGTCCTGTAGTTCCTTCAGCTTTTGCGCTCTTCCCAGGATTGCAATAGAATTTGGTGTTAGGGGCAATCCATTGCTGCCGCACACGTCGCCAGGATGTAATTTTGCGAAGAAGGTGATGGCGCACAGGCGGCTCTCCCTTTCCCGCTCCCGCGTGCTTCCCATCGTCCAGGGCAGGATGCTCCACGATTGGCGGTTGCAAATCGGTTCGATTTTCAAAAGAATTTACGACAACATCAGCAACAATTTGTGGCAGCGGATGGCAAATCAGCTGATGGCGTTGCCAGACCAACGTAAGTGCAACGCCCCCAAATTCGGAAGCTGTTAAAATTGTTAAGAAATCATTACCTTAAAGATATGAGTACTTTATTTTAAGTTAAGTTTACGTTTTACCTAGGGCTTAAATAGTTTGATGTTTTTCAAAGCAACCAACTCATGAGAACGCTTAAGGAGGATAAATGCAGGCGGTGCTGCCAGACATGGAAACGCCCCCCATATAAACAGCCGCTACGCTTATGCGGAATTCTTATTGGAAACATTATTTGCCTATAAATAAATGAAAATATTGTTTTTTTACCCTTGTAGAGGGTATTATAATTATAGTCAGCAGTTTGCAAAGCAGTGAAGGAAACACCTCAGACCCCATAAAGTACAAAATTCTTGATCAGCATCACGATCAGAATCGAAATACGTCTGTCCTTCTGTATATTTTTGATCAGCATATCGGTCGGATGAGGCGACTATATATGTACATATCTCCCACAGGAGGTGTAAAAAAAAAACGGGAAACAAATAATCACGCCGTTGTTTTTGATCATATCGATTTAAATTACGATAAGGTGTTTTTTAACTACTATGGAATTTCGAATAAAATTTTATTTAAATCGGATGACTATAGGATATAGCTGCCATTGAAAAGATCTAAAATTCTGTATAGAATTTATAGAAAAAAAATGTAAACTTCGTTGTTTTCTTAAAATTTTTAACTTAACATGAACTATAAAAAAAATTTATAAAAATCGGACAACCATCGAAAAATCCATACAAAATGTATGAAACAAAATACTATCGGTGTTATTTTATCATAAAATTGCGAAAATATTATAATCAAAAATGTAAACTTCGTTGTTTTCTTAAGATTTTTAACGTAACTTGAACTATGAAAAAAAAAAGGGGTGTGTCCAGCCTACGCACGACAGAAGTGAAACTTCTTCATCACTACTCATTTTTATACACTTGCAGAGCAAAAGGGTATTATAATTTCAGTCAGAAGTTTGCAACGCAGTGAAGGAGACACCTCAGACCCCATAAAGTATATATATTCTTGATCAGCATCACGATCTGAGTCGAAATACGTCTGTACGTCTGTCCGTCTGTCCATCTGTCCGTCTGTTCGTTTCCGCGCAAACTAGTCTCTCAGTTTTAAAGCTATCTTGCTGAAACTTTCCCAAAAGGTGTGTAGTTATTGCACGCAGTATATAAGTCGGAACGGGCCGGATCGGCCGACTATAAAGGATAGCTCCCATACGAGGGAATGAAATGAAAAATTCTCACGCCGGTGTTTTTCGTCAGATCTACTTGAATTCTTCAAGATGGCGTTTTCTAACTGTTATTGAATTTCGGATTAAATTTGATCAAAATCGGATAACTCTATCATATAGCTGCCATAGGAGAGATCGAAAATTATATATGGGTGATTCCATATCAGATTTACAGTCGATATCGGGAAATTCGATGAGATATTTTTTTCATGCTCTTTATTGAAAATAAATCGACACGTATTTTTTTATTTGGCTCAGAAAATTTTTTTGACAAAGTTATGATTATTTGAATTTTTGATGAACTGCCCTTTTTTTGATGACAGTCGCGTTTTCCAGCCCCAATAACTCGAAAACCGTACGTCGCAGAAAAAAAATGAATAGGAAGTAAAAATTTCATCCTTCCTTCTTCTTTGCAAAACTTTCGTGAAAAAATTTTTTAAACAATTTTTCACCACAAAAAGTTCAAATGTTTATAACAAATTCATTTTTCTCCAACTTGGACATTTTTGATTTTTTTTTTTTTTCACAATAAATCCTTCAATTTCTTCTGATGAACATACTAAAATTTCAGAATGGGATCAAAATTAGTTTTTGAGTTATAGAATTTTAAAGATTATCATGCACGGTCCGCGCGTCAATTCGCTTCGCGCGCGCATAGTAAGGGTCAATAAAATGAATTTTTAATGCTATTTAATTCTATAACTCAAAAACTAATTTTGATCCCATTCTGAAATTTTAGTATGTTCATCAGAAGAAATTGAAGGATTTATTGTGAAAAAAAAAAAATCAAAAATGTCCAAGTTGGAGAAAAATGAATTTGTTATAAACATTTGAACTTTTTGTGGTGAAAAATTGTTTAAAAAATTTTTTCACGAAAGTTTTGCAAAGAAGAAGGAAGGATGAAATTTTTACTTCCTATTCATTTTTTTCTGCGACGTACGGTTTTCGAGTTATTGGGGCTGGAAAACGCGACTGTCATCAAAAAAAGGGCAGTTCATCAAAAATTCAAAAAATCATAACTTTGTCAAAAAAATTTTCTGAGCCAAATAAAAAATACGTGTCGATTTATTTTCGATAAAGAGCATGAAAAAAATATCTCATCGAATTTCCCAATATCGACTGTAAATCTGATATGGAATCACCCATATAGAATTAATGGAAATAAATTGATAACATCGTTGTTTTTTATCCCATGATTTTTTGAATATCAAGTTTTTTAACAACGTTTATATTGAGAAAAAAGTTTCATAAAAATCGGTCATCTATATCTTATAGCTGCCATAGGAAAGATCGAAAAATTTTTATCGAAATAATGGAAACAAATTTATAACATCGTTGTTTTTTTATCAGACAAGTATGATTTTTGGAATATAGAGTTTTCTTACGACTCTTGAATTACGAATTAAATTTGATCAAAATCGGACAACTATATCATATAGTCGACATTTGAACAATAGTCGAAAATACGGAAAATGAATAGAAAAATCGTCATAGCTTCGATACTGTTTAGCCTTTTTGTATTTAGTTCGACATATTTGATGACTGCAAGGGTATATAAGCTTCGGCTTGCCGAAGCTAGCTTCCTTTCTTGTTAAAATTGAAATTCTGTAGGAAACCGAATAAAAGCCTTATTATACGCTTCATTTTAGAGGTCTCGAAATGTGCTGGCGACTCTCAAAAGTTAACAAACCGATTGAGAAGAAGAAGAAGACAAATACATATCGATATGTGTTTTCATTTCTAGGTCAAATAAAATGGATAGAAATTATGGTGCCAATTAATATCTGTATGCAACCTGTTCGATTTGAATTCCTTTTGACATTCACACCTCTCACCCCTTTTTCAACTGCAACTTTGTGCGAGCGCGCTGAGAGCGAGAAAGGATAGAGGAGGATAGAGACATCGTTCGTCAGCGGTTAGAAAGGGATGGGGATCCTCGCTTTTTCGTGACGGCAATTTTCGTGACGGTAATTTTCGTGACGGTCATGAATCGGTTTTACTCCGTCCCCGAAAATCCATAACGCGCCTAAAGAAGTTTCACTTCAAAAATTTATAAAACTCGGACAACCATCGAAAAATCCATACAAAATGCATGGAACAAAATACTATCGGTGTTATTTTATCATAAAATTTTGAAAATATTATAATCATCATCATCAGTAATAGCAAAATCGTAAAAAAAAATTGATTACACCCTGGACCACCTCCCCATGCCCCCTACGTACACCCATGATATGATTAAAGACATTTTTGTTGGTGTAATTTGCTAAACCATTTATTTAATTGGGTAAACGAAAGATTGAAGTTTTGTGCTGGGGGAAAGAAGTGTAATTGGTTATAACGTGCCCTAGGCTTAAATCTCAGGTGTTGCTGATATATGTTCAAAAAATATATTAAAATGCGCGGCATCTGGCAGCTCTGCACCAATTGAAATGGAAAGCTCTTTCGCAGTTTTGCAACACTGACTGTTTGTTGTCGCCTTGTTCGTTGTTGTTGCCTCTGATTGTTGCTATTGTTATTGCCACTTGCGATTTTGTTTTTATTGCGCACTCGAAATTGTTTTGTTATTCACTAGTCAAGATACAAAAAAGCGCTTGAGATGGTGAAAAATCCAGCGCATTTACGTTTAGTTTAAGTTAGTCGCTCGTCTTGTGTGTGTGTAACGTAAATAATTAGTGCAGTTTGGCAATTGCAACTGCATCTTTTGACAAATGTGAAGAAAGGCGCATCAAAAGAACTGCAAAGACTGCAAAATAGTGCATAAATAATATTTTAAGAACGATGTCACTTTTTGTGGAGTACACGGAACCGAAATGGCGGGATTTGAATATGCGCGCATTGTCAGTCGACGAGTTTTACCTGTACCTGCGATCGCAGTTCGCTGAAAAGACCTACCTGTACACACTTTCTGATGAGTGCTATACGGTAATAAATAATATGTAACATATGCGATCGCGCAATCAGTTTCACTTTCAATTAGTTTCTTAATTCGATTTATTTGCCCAATTTATTGGCATTTTAATTCGCAGTGCCCATACACCAAAGTGAAAGCTCTGCCCGCTGCCGACGTCGCTGCCGGCGTCGATGAACCGTTACGTTTGAGTTCGGCATTTGGGCTGAATTTCAAAATATATGAATACGATCAGGGTCACTATGCCTACGATAATGTGTGAGTATCCACTGTACAGTAGTCATTGACTGAGGCTTAAATATTCAACTTTTTTTTGGAATATTAATTTATAATTTATACAAAAACAGTCACTTTAAAATCAGGGTCAATGTACAGTGAGACCTCTATTTAAATGTTATTGAAGCGTTATAAAAAAATATTATTTGGAAAGTTAGTTATAGCTATTTACCACTGCCCTGCATGTGATTTGCGTATGTGTGTTTGACTAGTTTAAGCGAAACTGCTTGGCTATGCATGCCAATTGTAATTACACCTGTTATTTTCAAGTTTAATCGGTTTTCCCGCAGCTCCTCACTTTGTTGGCTACGTCGCACCGATCTGCAGGAATTCGGCGTCTATAACCTGACCCTCGAAGCGAATGGGACCTGTGCCTTCGAAGTGGACAAGCCGGGCGTTCCAATTAATTACGGTGAGTGCTTCGCCGATCCGTAGTTCGTAATCCGTAATCCACTAATCCATAACTCATAACTCGTACACTTAAGCGTGCCACTCCAGATACTTTCATAAGAATGTACTTATCGGTATTGCTTATTTTCCGCAGCTTTTCTTGCCGTTTTCGTGCTGGTTGCCGCCCTGCTAATCACCCTGAAAGTTGTGAGTTGCCTCTGGCGTTGTTATCGCTACGATGAGGCCACTGCCGCCGCCGACAGCATCGGAGAGGCCGCCACAAAGGCCACCCAGAGGAAGCGCCTGCGCAGCCTGGACACCTTCCGCGGGTAATTGGAACCCCCCTTGGAATCTGTTGTTCCCACTAACAAACACTTTTATTTCCCCAGCCTCTCCATCGTTCTGATGATCTTCGTAAACAGTGGCGGCGGCGGCTACACCTGGATAGAGCATGCGGCCTGGAACGGCTTGCACCTGGCCGACGTGGTCTTCCCCTCGTTTCTCTGGATCATGGGCGTTTGCATACCGCTCTCGGTCAAGTCACAACTCTCACGGGGCAGCAGCAAGGCCAGGATTTGCCTGAGAATCCTTTGGCGATCCATTAAGCTCTTTGCCATCGGCCTGTGCCTCAATTCGATGAGTGGAACGAATCTGGAGCAGCTGCGTCTCATGGGTGTCCTGCAGCGTTTTGGAGTGGCGTTCCTTGTGGTCGGGGTGCTTCATACTTTGTGCAGTCGCCGGGATCCCATAAGTCCGCAACGATCATGGCAGCGGGCCGTCCATGATGTGTGTCTCTTTAGCGGAGAACTGGCGATATTGCTCGCTCTGGTGGCCACCTATTTGGGTCTTACCTTTGGCCTGCGAGTGCCAGGATGTCCGCGAGGCTATCTGGGACCAGGTGGCAAACACGATTATAATGCCCATCCGAATTGCATTGGCGGAGCTGCAGGCTATGTGGATCTTCGGGTTCTGGGCAATGCGCACATCTACCAACATCCCACTGCAAAATACGTCTACGATTCCACTGCCTTCGATCCAGAGGGCATATTTGGTGGGTTTAAGTCCTTTCACCTGTTCGTTAAATAGTTTTGACTTAACACCTTTTTACCGTTTTTAGGCTGCATTTTAAGCGTGGTTCAGGTGCTCCTTGGTGCCTTTGCTGGCGTCACCCTGCTGGTTCATCCCACCTGGCAGTCGAGAATCCGTCGCTGGCTGCTGCTAGCCTTCCTGTTGGGCATTGTTGGTGGCGCCTTGTGCGGATTCTCGCGTGAGGGCGGCGCCATTCCGGTGAACAAGAACCTCTGGTCGCTGTCCTTTGTCTGCGTCACTGTGAGCCTGGCTCTGGTGATCCTTTCGCTGCTCTACTACTTCATCGACGTGCGGGAGACATGGAACTGGTCGGGCTATCCGTTCACCGAGTGCGGCATGAACGCCATCGTGATGTACGTGGGACATTCCGTGCTGCACAAAATGCTGCCCTGGCACTGGAGGATCGGGGAGATGAACACGCACTTCATGCTCCTGCTGGAGGCCACATGGAACACCCTCGTCTGGGTGGGCATCGCCCTGTACCTGGACGCCCAGGAGTTCTACTACAGCCTGTAGGAGTGCAGCAATATCCACGTGCACAATTCAATTGCCAAATACGTTAGTTTTTTGTACATAGTGATTTTTACGGGATATTTTGTTAACAAGCTCAAAGTCCAGGATAAATGTTTAGTATTTTTAACATAATTCCGAATTTTTTACGTTGTAAGAAAGCAAATTAAGATCAATAAAAGTAAACGATCTATTAGACTCCAAATAAAAGTTATCTTTCTATAAATTAATTGCATTGCATCAGAAATCTATTATTATTTAACGAAGTTTCAACCACCAGTCATAAGAAAAACATGGTTTTTATTCAAGTATTTTATTTGTATTTAAATAAAAAAACATTTTCTTGTAACACACATATATTGGTTTTCTTTTCGATTTTTATGTTGCTTTTAATCGTTTTGTATTTTTTTTGTTTGTTTTATGTTTTTTGTCTGTTTGTTTAGGCATTCCTAAGGCTACAATTTGTATGTGTTTCTGTGTGTTTGTTTGGGTGGTTTTATTCCCTCTTTACTCCTAAAAAAAAACTTAAAAAGGGGAAACTTTGTGTTCGATTACAGACTACTAGGGCACTGAACGAATTACTACACGTCCAACTACTGCCGATAAATCGCTTTTTAAAAATGCTTCTTCGTTTCATCCAGCTTAAGATGGAAATGTGAGAGTGGCAGACGATGACTGAGTTGAGCAACTAGACAAAACAAGTCAGTAGGCTGGCTTAAATCGTATGTACATAAACTAACTTCTAAGGTGCAAAGTTTAAATATTACCCTAAAATGATATGGTAGGAGCTGGCAGCTACTGCTTCGGCTGAGTATTTCTACAAAGAATGTCTGTTGTGGGGGTGAGATGGATACAAGTAAATGTATGTACAGTATGCCCCGCTCTTTGTGGGCACATTCTAGAATAAATATATGGGGGAGCTCTACCAAACTTTCGAGATAAAAAAATATGAAAAATGCATACAAAAATATTTAAAGGAGGTTGGTGTTTAACAACTGTAACAGGGCGTGAGAATAGTCCCTGTGAGACGCTAGGCATCTCCTATCTCTCTCATTCTCGTGTTCTTTCTCTCTTTTTCGTTGACTTTCGCTTAAGCGATTTTGGCTTCTGGAGGAGGAGGAGCAGGTGGCTCAATGGTCGCCGCGGCCGACAGGTCCACAAATTTAGCAGGCTTCACCTGTATTATCTTGGGATTGGCCACGGCCACTTTTTTGGACACCGACGAGGGCGTTATGGTCACCGTGCTGGGTGCGATGGCGTTCATGGCCGCCGTTTGATTGCTGGCCGCCAACGAGGAGGCTGGCAGAATGGTGGTCACCCCGTTCTCATGCTGAATGCTGCTTGCACTATTGAATATTGCACGCATCTTATTGCCGTTGCCCTGAGATCCGCCGAGTACGTTGATTTTGAGAGGGACTGCCGTCACCGCCGATGCTCCTCCGGCCTCGCGCTGCTGTACAATTCGTGCCGTAAACTCATTGCCCGCCAGTACAAGATTCTGCGGCTGGCCAGCCAGAGGCAGGCCAGTGGCCAGGATAAGCTGCATGCCACCAGGGATTTCGCGCACCTTCAACTCCACGTGCTGGATGAGAAAAAGAAAAAACATACGGAAGTTAGCCAGGAATTCTATTAGTGTCGAAGGGATAAACCTACCGGTGGACTAACAGACTTGCGCTCCAGCACATGCTCATCGAATCCGGAATCCGAGGAGTTGTCGTTGAACTTGTTGGACAGCGACGAGGGCGAAGTAGCGCCCACGGCAACCACTTGGGCTTGCGCTTGCACTTGGGTTCGCGGTTGCGGTTGCGATTGGCCTCCGCCGGTGGGCTTGAGGACCAGCGACAGATTGGAATGTGGCTGGCTGGTCGTGGTGGTGGTTTCAGTCTTGCTCAATGGAATTGGACTTATACTATGGATATCACCCTGCGGAAATAGCTCCGATTGTCGCTTGAAGAACAAATGATGCTTCTTAAGTGGCCCAACTTTTGGGCCTTGGCTTTGAAGTTGAGTATTTGGCGGTGAGATGGCTGCTGCCTCCGCCTGCTTCTCGTGAAGATGCTGCTGCTGCAGTTGCAACTGCTGGCGACGCAGGCGCTGGTGCTTTTCACAGGGCTTGTACAGCTCCGGATCGATGATGTAGCAGCAGTTGCCAAGGGATAAGCTCTGGAAGACCACACCGCAGCAGACCTCCAGGCGTACGAGATCGTTCTCCTCGAAAAAGGGCACATCATCGACGGCCCTTCGATTCTTTTGCGGTGGCAGCTGTCGGCGGCGGTTGCTTCCGGTCAGCTTGACGCGCTTACCAACTCCCGCCGAGTCGTTGTTATTAGCCAAAGCAGCAGCCGCAGTACGCTTGCGAGTTTGATAAGGACCGCCAGAGGATCCGATTGATTCCATAGACATTTGATCATCGTCGTTACTCTCGTTCGAATCACTGGGTTGATTTTCCGAGGTAGGTGAAGTGCTACTGGGACGATTGATTGCACGGGAAACCGATGGAGCTGCTGACTTAGTCCCCGCCGTTGCTGTGATCTTGCCCTTGCGATTCTTCTTGAAGATCTTGGCAAACTTCTCGGGCAAAAATGAGTTGCCGCTACCATTGGTGTTCTTGCCATCCGACTCCGAGTTGTCGCGCTTCTTCTGTTTGGCCAGGGATTTGGTTCCGGGTCCAGCACGGGCATCTACCACCTGTGAATGCGAGAGTGAGAGGATTAGTTGGCGAAAGGGTTATTTCAAAGCAGAGAGTTTGTAGAAAGGTCTGTACGTCGGGGTTTTCACAATCTACTTTCTACTTTAAAAGAAAACTATGCTCGGTGATTGGTTAAAGCAAAGCGCAATGATTTTTAAATTACATTGTTCGTTAAACAATCTTGTTAAAAGTAATATTTTTTATTTTAAATATGTAAGGGTTAAAGGGATTTTCAGCCAATACTAGGGATCTGGATTTATCCCCCGAACAATACTCACATGACCCCAGTGGCGCTTGCTTCCGATGGGCAGTCGCTTATACCTCTTGACCAGAAGAACACAGGCGTTGCAGATCTCTCCGTTTCGCGGCTCATGGAGATTGAAGCACTGCATCGACTCCTTTTCGTATTTTCGGGAGGCGGTGAACCGGGAGCTACTTGATTTTGCCCGGCAAATGCAGCATCCATCGGCGGAGCGGTAAACGCGCGGTTTGTGGAAGTTAAACATGCCTTTTTTTTTGATGGAAATTACACAATTTTAAGAGTGACTATGTGCGTTTGATTTTGTCGCTTTTGGATGATTTGTGCGTGGATTTTTTGATTTCTTTTTTCTTTTATTAATTTGTAAACGTTTTTGAAAAGGTGTTTTATTTTGTTAAGTTTTTGAGTGTTTGTTTGTGTACTGAGTGTGCTACTTCGGTGTTTCACTGTAGGTGTGCTATTGTTATTTGTGCACAAACATTCCGTTTATTTTTGTTGTTGTAAGCACGTGCATTGCCAACATCCATTTCCTGGTCTTCACTGTAGTTGGCTGCATTTGTGCTGCAAAATAAAAGAAAAAAAAATCATTTAGAATATATGGTTATGATAATTATAATTTACTACATTAAATCTTATGTTGATTACTAATATTAATTCTTATGTTGACCACTTTTCAACAGAACCACTTTTTTAACAGCTGACGCTACCGATTTTGCAACAGAAAACGTTATTTAATATGAACACTCGTCCAACCGACACGACATTTTAAATTAACATTAACCGCGGGGAAAACAACAACATGCTTTAATATCTTATCAGCCGAGCGTAGCAAGTGGTTTATTTCCAGAGCATTGTTAATTAAATTTAGCAAACATGTTTTAAAAACAGCAACCGAAAAACAACAACAAAATTGAGGGATCAATGGGAGGTGTGCAAGCGGGACAGCTAGCTAAGCCACGCGCGCGCCATACAAATACAGGCGCAATTTATTTCGTGTTGCCTGGCAATATTTTTGTGTGCGTGAGTGAGTGCAACTTGTACATTATTGTTGTTGTTTTTTTTGGGGGGAACTTGATAAACAAACGCGAAACAGGAACGCTGCATATATACACTCTAAGGGCGGTCTTTCAATCACTGCCCCTCACCACCTATCATTCACACACAACAACAAAAACTTGAGCTTGACTGAAAAAAAGAGCCGCAGTTCTTCTTCTTCTACCAGGTGCGTTGATGTTGTTATTTCTTTATTTCGTTTTTGGGTGTTTTTTTTTTTGGTGACACTGATTTTGTGCAAGTTTGTTCAAGAAATTTTGGATTGGTTATGTGTGGTTATGTATTTTATGCACCGGCTGTATATATAATTCACTTTAATTTGTGAAGACAAGGGAAGAATGCGGCTAAATTGGCTGCCTTTTCTATTATTAAACACATTTTGCCACGAATTAACATATATATATTAAAGAAATCATATTTCCTTGGTGAAACTAAACACTTCAATATAAGAATATAAGTAATTGTCTTGAAATTCAGTTGAATTAATTAATTTTTTGAAATTCAAAATTGGCTGACATTTCTTTTACTAGCACGTGCTGTCACAAATTCATTAAAATTTACCTTTATAAAAAACACACTCTTTTGTAAATATATTTCCTGAGTAATCCTTAACACTTAAATTTATTTAAACTTTAAGAAAATACAGCGGAGACAAACGAAACGCGTCTGCACACGAGGAACACAAAGAAAAAGTAACGAAACCGACGAAAAATCGACGCATGTACGAAATTGTGTACAAAGAGAATGCAGTGATAACGCGAGCAGCTGAGCGTGCCGTCTCGCTCGCTCTCGTGATGCGTGTGTGTACGTGAGAATGCGCGCAGCAAAAGCAACAGCGAAAAATTCCGGTTGTGAAAAAAAACGTTTATTACAACCAGGGACGGTCCTAAGAGGGTCGATCCCTCTTGGATGGAAAACTTATTATAAAGTTGTATTCTTAAAGTCTGTTTAATGTAAATTTGTTGTGATAGTTTTGCTACAATCCCTATTTAATAAATTGTCGCATAAGGTTATCGGGAGTGATAAATTCAAATTTTGAAGACCCCTAACAACAAGTATCCACGTACGCCACTGCGACAGAAAAAGAACTGGACCGCCGCCGCTGACAGGGTTGCCACCTGACAACAATAACAACAAAAGAATGCAAATTGAGAAATATGCAAATGTTGAACGCAATACGCTCTTTTGTTGATATTCTTTGTTTGCAACTCGGCTAATAAAGATAATACTGAAAACGTGCGGCGCAGCTGTTGTGTCTCTTCATATCTATTTATAGCGTTTTTATTGCAGCACCCACTCGTCCCCGTATCTCTCTTTCCCACCCCCTTTTTGTGTTTTTGTAATACGTGACCAGACACACACACGGTTGCAGTGTGGCAACTCCGCCGGACCGCTGTTTTACAACACTGTAAATGGTCTCCTGCTTGTTGTTGTTTTCTTGCATTCTGATCTCTGCTTCTTCTTCTTTTGGCGAAAGTGGCCGAATAAAGTCGAAAATAGGCCCCAACATGTTTTACATTTACACATACGCAAGTGTGTGCATCGGACGGTCTACGTGCCGAAAAAGAGCAACAAAAAACCCCAAATAAACTAGGTCGCTTGTCGTTTTTGTTATCGTTGTTGTAATCAAAACAAATTGCACGCCGCAAATGTATGTGAGCGTAAGCGTGTGAGTGTAAGCGTCGCCTGCTGTTGCGTCTCCTTATTTTCGCCTGCCTTTTCTTCTTCTTCAGAGGTCTTGCAAAATTACAAACTGTACTTGTGCGAAATTGAGCGTGAAGACAGAACAATTAAAGCTCTCTCTTTTCTATAGGCATACGTAGATGTAGTATTTAAACATATGTATTAAACAGCGGCTGACCTTGTTTGTGTTTTTTTGCGCCTACAAACAACGGAAAGTGAAAGACTCTGATTGGAATTCTCATAAGAATGAAAGACAAGTTGGGGCACATAACGGTACACAAACACATGCATTGGCACATACGGCGTAATAGCAAAACCAAAAACAACCAAGCCGGAAAAAAGAAAGTAAAAAGGCAAAAATACAATGTAGTTTATATTTGTTGAGAGAGAGAGAGGAAAGAGAGCCGTTGTTAAGTAATAGATTATTTGCAGAGAAAGCGCGCGCAACAGATTTTAAAAGTAACACATTGGAGTTGTGTGCCACTAATTTCATTTCATTTTTTTAGCATTTCCGCACAATTACTGGAGTTTTTGACATTGGAAGAGTTCAAGCGGCTTTTGTTATTCGTATTTTTACTGATTTCGATTGACGAAGGTCAACAACAAAACGAAAACCGCGCACGCACATTATCACACATTGGGCGACACACAGATACATTCACCGCAACAACTTGTTGTCATGAGTTTTTCCATCCTTAAATTATCTTTATTTTTATGAAAAATACTTTAAACTTTTACCTTTATTACTCCTTTATCACCGGTTAAATTTAACTCGCTTTTTACTTGCTTTGCTTTCACTTTGAACTTGCCTTTATTTTATCGCTTCTTTTTTGCTTCTAGACTCAGGTTTTTCGGCTAAAGTATCGATGTTTTGAAAATATTCGATACATTGATATTTTGACTGCCATAGTTTTTTTTGAATTTCGATATCGATGTCTGGCCTCCGATGTTTTTCCACTTAGCCAATGCATCCTCCTTACCTAGCACGTACACACTCCCAAACTAGCTCGTACATTCTCCTAGAATATTCATTTCACCAAGCAAAACGATTTTTGGAAAAAACAGGATTTTTTAGTTGGTTGTGCTTGGGGCATTAGAGGAAAAAAGCCAAATCAGTGCTACGGTCACACTCGTTGTTTTTTGTTGCGGATATTCGCCTCGTCTTAAGTTTCGTGTCCGTTATTGCTACTCGTCCCGTATGTTCCGTTATTTGCGCCTCTCTTTCGAAATGTTAGTAACAAGTTTTCAGTGAATACCTTTTCTTAATCTGCGAATAAACAGCGGTCACCATTTTGAGTTTCCGCTATCCTTTTTTTTTTTTCCGTGATTTAGTTTTTTCTACTCTGCGCGTATTTCTACGACGCGCCAGAAGCCTATGATCTTTTTTTTATGTTTTTCATATAAAACAAAACGTGACTGGTTTGTTTTTGGTTGGTGTAGAACAAAAACAAGAACGTAACGAAGAAAAAGGAGGTGTAAGAGAAGAAGAAGCAGAAGAAAAAGAGCAACAGTCAAGTGATTTTTAGTGGATGACGTCGCTGCCGACTTCGACGTCGTCGCCGTTGCGCCGCCGCATTCAGTTTATGTGCCTGTGTGTTAGCCAGCGCATCTGTGTGTGTGTGCATGTGTGGGCGAGAGAAACGAAGAGAGAGAAAGGGCGAAGTAAAAGTAAATGCGTGCAATTAGCATTTTAATGCAATCACCATTAACCGTCCGCTATTGTAAGTTATTTTACCTTACTTCACACACACACAGACAAAACCGTGGTAGTGCAAAAACTAAGTGCAAAAAGCGGCAGCAACAATTGTCTGTTAATTACTTGATATTTCGTAATGCAACAATAACAACGGTAGCAAACAGTAATGTTACTGGGATCGCTCGATTAGGAAAAATTAATGGGTAAAGAACCAAAAGATAATTGTATAGTGTTTTAATAATAATCTTCGTTCTCAATGTAAAATTATTGTGCATTTATTTTAAAGAAATCATAATAGAAAAAAAAGTGTTTTGAAAAAGGCCAACATTTTTATTTAGATATTAAACAGTTTTGATTAAATAACAAAGTTTTGGATTTTCATTTAAATTTATATTTGTCCGAGTTCTTTAAACAAGTCGCCCACTGTACCTGTAGCAAAGCGCCGCTACATATGTGCAAGTGTGTGCATCAAGCAACGGTTTTTGTTCATTGTGAATTACACACTTGCATACATGCATCGAACACGCACTTGTGCGTGGTTTATATTTTTATCTCCCCTCTCCCTTGATCATACACTACTAAGATAGTAGTGGCTCTCTCTCACTCTCTTTTTTTTGTTGCTTTTCACCTGCAGCTTTCGCTTCTGCTTCTTCCATTTCTACATCCGACATGTGTGTGTGCGTGAAGAGACAGTGCCGTTATAAATTTGTTTGCCCATAAAACATTTTTCTTGCATTCGCCGGTAAATGAAATCAGATTAAAGCATAAATACAATAGTCCCGCATTTATGTCTGTCTCTTGTTTTTTTACTCACTCATCTTTTTCGAATTTCCTGTTATAGAGAGTGCAATACAAGTGCAATATTAATTAAGTAATAATACAAACGTAAATGTATATCGAAAGCATGTATACTATGTGTGTGCAATATAAACGAATGACCATGTTATAGCCATACAAAATAAAACAAAAGTCACAACTCCCCCCCCTTAAAAAAAAAAAAAAAAAAAACAAAACAAAGATCTGCGAAAACCTTCGACAATCATCGAGTTTTACTGTACTTGAAAATGGACTGTGCCACGCGAAAACGACAACAATTACGGGCACATCATCAGCAACATATACAAAGACAATCACATGGACGAAAGCGGCGGCGATTACAACAACAACAGCATTACTACCGCCACCAACAACAACATCAATACGTGTGGCTTGTTGTTGGCATTTTGACAATTTTTTGGACTCAGGTGAGTAAAAAAAAAAAGATAAAGATAAAACGACAGGTAAACCCATAAAATTTGTAACCTGTTAGAGGGCACATTTTTCAAAACTTAAGGATTTAAGAGGAAATATCTTGTGTCTGATGCATTGTATCACTGTATCAAAGACTGAGTCCAACGAAACGCTCTTTACGAATAACTCAATCTCCTTCGACAGATTTTCAAATTAGAAGTTAACTATTTTCCATTGTATAGTAAGTTTTGCTTTGTTAGGTGTCTTCAAAAACTCGTTTGGCTGGTTCTAGTTGGTATCATTTTTATAATAATATTTCAGTGAAAACTCACATAACAGTTTACTAAAATGGATCAAAATTCATTCAAAATTCGCATTAATAAAAAAATTGACCAGAATGGTTTCAACGTTAACTCCATTATTAAACTCAACCGCAAGTGAATCTTAAATAAATAGCAGGTAATTTCTGACTCCTAAGGGCGATGAATCCATTGACTATGGAGTATAGGGGGTCCGAAAAGTGTGCGATTTTGATTTGCGATTTGTGGGCCTATTCCAGCCATTATTCCGTGTTTTATTGGCAATTTCGTTTTATTTAGCCGCTGTTGTATCGTTTACAAAACTCGTTTCGTTTTGCATTGTTGTCGCATTGTTGTGCACAAGCAAAAGAAATAAAAACAAAATCCCAAAGCAAAAAGGAAAAAGTTTAAAAAATATATAAAAAAAAGAGTAAAAAGCGAACGCAAGTAAAACTCAAGGTTGGTTCTGATGTCGCTGTCATCGGAACTTCCTCACTCAGAAAAAATTTCAATGATCTTTTAAAGCGATTAGGCATTGTTAAACATATTTCCAAACCCACTTTTTTTAACAATCCAAAAGCAGTTAAACATCAGTTTTAAAATTATCACTGCTATTTAACGACAGAAAGATAGAATTTGAAACCTTAAAAAGCGATCCTCATTGGTAGAATGTCCTTTTTATTTAAGTGTCCTTTTAATTTGATGGTGCTGAAATTACTTGAATTCTTGGTTGCATATTTGTATCAGTTCTACTATATGCTTTATAACTCATGTGTATCTCCCGCCTTTCGTTTTATCTGGGCGTTTGCGCGATTGCGGATCGCGGGTCATTACGTGCTGGCTTATCGCCCTAACTTGGCCGAAAGTATTTGTATTACTAAGCGTCCAAAAAAAAAAAAAAAATGTTAAAAAAATGCCAGCGAAGAAGAGTGGCGATGACATCAGCCAATTTTTTTTACCGGGCCAAGAGAGAGTGGGGCGGTTTGTTGACAGCGTAACCACAGAGTGTAAATGTGAGTGGTTTTGGATGGTTCGAAACCCCCGGCGAGGGAACAAAACATGGGTTTGCCTCGTCCGATTCTAAATGCCTTTGCTTTCATTCAAAATAATGTTTGTTTATCTGCGATGCAATACTTTTCAAAACATACTTTTACGTATTAAAACTTTGTATCTTGGAAATACCTTTTTTTTTTTTGCACATCTAGCATTGATCTTTGTAATGTTGAGTTAAAATCTTGCTGTCTTGAAGTGAATTTCCCCTTAACCATGCTGTTTTTCTTGTTGTCTTTCTTTCGTATTTTGTTAATTGTTGGGAGCTATCTGAAAATTCAATTAAAGTTTAAGAGATCAAATACAGTGCCGGCAATTAAGCTGATCCCTGCCCCCTTCTTTATGGATATTATTGAAACTGTGTCAAGTGTTTGGAGATGTGTTGAGGGAAATTAACCAAACCACCCTACGAGAACCCAAATTAGAGTCGAGAAAGTACTCAATGGAATGGGGATTCCTCCCTCTTTTTGTTTACAATTTGTTGGATCGATGTAAAATTAACTTTGGCTCAATTAATTGAAATTTTGTTTTCTTTTTATGCGTTTGGGTGTTAAGTTCTCTGCCTTTTTTCTGCTTCTTCAGATGCTACTGTTTTCTCCAGCTCTTGTGGGTGCTTCTTTTTTTATTACGTAGTTTTTTCTGGAGTGGTTGTTGGCCAGCTTTATGGGTTGTTGGCACCTTCTCTGTTTTCCAATTTTGTTGTTGTTCTCCCATTGTTTATATGGCAGCTGAAGAACCAGAGGACTGCTGCGGAGTGGGGCAAAAGAAAGATATTTACTACTAATTGGCATGCGGGTGGAGTTGAGTTAAATGGAGCACACACCCATCGGAATGTTAGAACTTCACATTGTTTTATGTATGTTCACTTAACTTTCAAAGAGTATACGCAAAAAAGGCCAGTAAATTCCAGAAGAATCTCGGGCTTTCTCCCGGCAAACGATAAAATAGAAAATAAATAAGACAGGAAGCGAAATCCATATGCAAAGTGACAACTCAAACAGAGAATCAGGGAGATATATATACTCATTTATGGCTTGTTAATCTCTATTTGCACTTGACTAAAGACCCCGTCAATTGAAGTGGAGGGCTCTAAGAATAGATGTATCACAAGCTTGGGGTCCTACAATATAATTTATTCAGTAGAGGGTGCTGAACTCTTGGGTTTGTTTTTTGGATTATAGAATCTCTTATTTTATTTAAGATACATTTATTTTTAAAACGTTCAGCTGATCGTTTGCCTTAAAGTACATATATTATCCAGTTTTTTTTTTATTTTACACAGTTTGATTTATCTTTTATTCTTTATTGCTTTTTATTGCATACAACTCAACATGCATATAGTTTACCGACATATAAATGCATAAAAATATTATGGATAACTGTTGCTGTTGATAAATGTTCATTTATCAATATAATTATTACTTTGTTAACATGCCATTTTCAACTTCCATGACTTCTGGCTAATTTTTGTGCTGATCTCCAATTATTTTCGTTGTTAATCGTTGTACCAAATTCTCGCTCGCTCTTTCTTTTCTGTTCTGACAAAGCAACTAGCAATTAATTGATATTAATTGCGGGGCGAACACAAAAAACTGGGCCAACTCGACCTGAACAGATACGCAATAACAAAAATAAATAACCAGATAGCTAAATACAAAAAAAAATTGCCTGGTCAAAATAAGTTAAAATTGCAGGTGGAAGAGGAGAGACATAAAACGACAATTTGTTTATTGAACACAAAAATATGGATATAGCGCAACAACAACAAAAAACTACGCTCGACAGAAATTAAAGCAAAATTCAAGAGAAGCTTGTGGCTCGCCTAACTGGTTTTGGTTTTTGATTTTGAAATGGATTTGTATTTTATTTTTTTCACAAGCTCTCCATCTCCCTTGCACGCACATAAAAATAATTAGCAAACAACCTACAACGTTTTATACTCAAAATGAAAAAAAAAATCACATATTCACAAGAAAAACAAGCCTTTAATTCAATCTCACGCATTCCACGTTTGCGAATTCAATTTGCGTTGCGTTTATTTATTTTCGTTACCGCTCGGATTCAATTTGATTTTTCTGCGATATTTTCGCACTGGTTTCATATTTTCCAATCACTTAGTGAAAAACTATGACAATAGTGCCTACATTAGTTTAGTAATTATGAGGTTTTAACAATCTATTTGCCTACTTTGAATTCAACGGAATATTTCTATGAGTGTTGGCAAGTATTTAGTTTTTGTCTTCGTTATCAATCGTATAGTATAGTTGAGGTCAATGATTTTCTCCCTGACTGACACCCTCCTAATGATATTTATTTTAATCCGAAACTTTCCCAACAATCCCCATGGGTCGCAAAAAAAAAAGTGAAAGGCAAATCCGAATAAAAAACAAAAAATATACAACTTAAATTGTCAATCAAAACGGCTTAACCCAAATGTAAGTAACTGCCGATTAAACAAATGATAGTATGTGCAAATAAATCGAAATAATCGATTGCACCACTCAAGACTAATCGGTGTTCGAAGGAAGTATTTAGCTGCTTTGATATCATTTTGTGTTATTAGCTACGATAATTTAAACTGTTTATAGGAGATTACACATCTCGACTACATTGCTAAAGAGCTTTCGGCAATGGTTATTGCACATTTATAGATTTTAAATTGGACTCAGTTGATATATTTTCTAGTGCAAAACCACATTTTTCGACACCACGTCGCGTTGGCTATATCGTTTCAGTTCACATGATGGTTTCCGCCTCATCACTGTCATAATCATGCCCATCATCCTAATTATGACTATTAGTGCGATCATTTAGGCTTAAAGGTCATATTCATTTTGCAAATTGAAGGACAAAAAAGCGAAATAACAGAGGAGAAAAAAGATGGGGGCGTGGCCGGAGGTGTCGATGATAAAACGGGGGGATATTATCGTGAAAAATGGGCGGCTGATCGTTTTTGGCTTGATTTGCCTAAACACCACTTTGACTTCCGTTTTCACATGCATTTCACATCGCCATTGTTGTTGTTCATTGTCAGTTCGCATGTGACATGCAATAAAAGCAACAAAAAAACAACAACAAATGCAACAACTGGCGAGCTGAATTAAGAAATCATATTCAAATTGCATATATGCACTTCAAGCGTAGGAAAATTGGTTTTTCCTTCCATTCGAGTGCTGCTGTCAGGCCTTTTCCATTCACAAATTTCAATCGTCGTCTTCCGAATTTGTTTTCCACCCTGATCGGAAATTCCATCTTTCGGTATTACTTCGAGTAGCCCCAGAAATCCGATATTCTATATCCGTTGCTGCTTGACTGACGTCAGCATAAGCCTAATGTCCGATTAACGTTCAAAACGTGATTAGCGTCATTATCATTCAGATATATTCGGGTGGTGTGCTGAGTATATAGATACGTATGTATATACATATATGTATAGGAAATTAACGAGTTGCGAGCAGAAACAATAAAACAGATCGGCATCTGCTAATTTAATTTTTGCATTATATTTTTATTGCGAAACTGCATTTTATTTGGCTAATTAACAGATAGTAGAGATATTTACTGCGCAATTATAGCACTACGATATAGACGTTAGAGCCATTACTTCGGTGTTTCATATTTTATTGGTTACTTTTTACGGTGTTAGGCTGCATCATCACATAACATTTGTAATTACTGAAATAAGAAAGTGAAGAGCATTTGAGTTCAGAGGTAAACAAACAGTTGGTAAAATTATATAGAAATATTCTAAAATACTAGTTATCTCTTTTGGTTCGTTAACTGTGTAATTCATACTATCATTGAGTCAGTATATATTTTGCTGGATACCTAGAAAGAAGATCATCTAACATCGGTAATTCAAATTTGCACATTCCTTAGAGTATCCGGAATCCGAAATTGACCAAGTAAGAAATTGCATTTCTAAACACTTCACTTGCTTTTATTGAGGCGCCAGACTCGAAATACAATCTGCGTTCCAAGTGCTCCGATTTTCCAAGAAATGCCCATCGGACGCTATGATAATCACATTTTGTGTATATGGGTGATTCCATATCAGATTTACAGTCGATATTGAGAAATTCGATGAGATATTTTTTTTCTTGCTCTTTATCGAAAATAAATCGACACGTATTTTTTTATATGGCTCAGAAAATTTTTTTGACAAAGTTATGATTTTTTGAACTTTTGATGAACTGCCCTTTTTTTGATGACAGTCGCGTTTTCCAGCCCCAATATCTCGAAAACCGTACGTCGCAGGAAAAAAATGTTTAGGAAGTAAAAATTTCATCCTTCCTTCTTCTTTGCAAAACTTTTGTGAAAAATTTTTTTAAACAATTTTTCACCACAAAAAGTTCAAATGTTTATAACAAATTCATTTTTCTCCAACTTGGACCATTTTGATTTTTTTTTTTTTCACAGTAAATCCTTCAAATTCTTCTGATGAACATACTAAAGTTTCAGAATGGTATCAAAATTAGTTTTTGAGTTACAGAATTTTAAAGATTATCATGCACGGTCCGCGCGCTCGGTCTCAGGGCGTGCGCCGACCAACGACTCTATCGAGCGTCAATTCGCTTCGCGCGCGCATAGTAAGGGTCAATAAAATGAATTTTTAATGCTATTTAATTCTATAACTCAAAAACTAATTTTGATACCATTCTGAAACTTTAGTATGTTCATCAGAAGAATTTGAAGGATTTACTGTGAAAAAAAAAAAAAAATCAAAATGGTCCAAGTTGGAGAAAATTGAATTTGTTATAAACATTTAAACTTTTTGTCGTGAAAAATTGTTTAAAAAAATTTTTTCACAAAAGTTTTGCAAAGAAGAAGGAAGGATGAAATTTTTACTTCCTATACATTTTTTTCCTGCGACGTACGGTTTTCGAGCTGTTGGGGCTGGAAAACGCGACTGTCATCAAAAAAGGGCAGTTCATCAAAAGTTCAAAAAATCATAACTTTGTCAAAAAAATTTTCTGAGCCATATAAAAAAATACGTGTCGATTTATTTTCGATAAAGAGCAAGAAAAAAATATCTCATCGAATTTCTCAATATCGACTGTAAATCTGATATGGAATCACCCATATAGAAATGATACTAGATACTAGAGTTTGCATCGCGCATACCTACAATCTCTAGTAACCCAAACAAAACAGGAAGGGTGAAGAAATGCGAAGATCCGACGTGATTTTCCCTATTTTCGCCATAACAACAATATGAGGTCGGGGGCTTGTGGAAAAACCCATTGTGTGTGTGTGAGTGTTGGTGTTGGTGTTGGTGTGTGTGTGCTCATTATATTGATGGTCATTCCAAAGGCCGCTCAACGAAGATAACTGATGTCGAGGTTGGTCATGTGTGGTCCATGTGCTTGGGGTTTGGTTTGGGTTCATATAATTCCAATTGCAATTGCTGCAACTGCGCAGCACGAGATGCAATCACTTGCACCCAAATGAGTCACTTTCGCTGGCATTGAGAGTGCTGCCCAGTCACATAAACCCCCTATCTATATATATGTATATATATGATCATCAAGAGATCCACGCTCTTATCTCTCGATTTTCGGTGCGTTGCGAGCGTTATCTCCCTGATTAATGGGGGATTGTCGGGCAAGAATGATTGCATGAGTGAATGTAGGTCAGTTCCGAGGTAAGCACGCCTGGATTTAAGGGAGACTATACCCACCCATGCGACTATGGAATACCGATTGAAATACCCTTGAGGGCTCACGGGCGAACTCGTTTACATGATTGCCCATCTAGCGGCGCCATAGAAAGCAGGAAAAATGGCTTTCGCAATCGTGTCTCAGAGCTGACAGTTGTGAATATGAATAAACTTTAGACCATAACTGTTTTTCTTAATTGAAAATCTCTCCCTGTGTGACTTATACGATTTGGACAACAATATTTCACCAGGTGATTTGTATCAAGAAACACATCAAAAAAAAAAAAAAAAAAAAGCAACAAGAAAGAAAAAGAAACCCTAAAGCTTACGTAATTTTTTGCGGTTAGGACTTGATTTATTTGCTCAGTCCTAATTAAACTGTTTTTAAGATTATTTATAGACGCTATTAACCTCAACTTTAGAAGTTTTCGTTGGTTGGCTAATTTAATTGCGAAGTTTTTCTGTTCGCTCTGCTGTGCTTTATATATTTGTGGGAATATGACTTCGGAAACTGGCCTGTTTTAACTAATGTAGGGAATGGGATCTTTTTTTGGGTAAAAAGTAATGTAAATAATTTTGTATTTGACAGCACACAAGTGCCGCTGATCTGGTGATTAATGTTCCAAATGCGAGCAGCAATGACAACGCATTCTACAGGATTGACTACAGTCCGCCCTTTGGCTTCCCGGAGCCGAACACCACGATCCCCGCCAGCGAGATCGGCAAGGACATCAAGTTCTCGCGGGCTCTGCCGGGCACGGAGTACAACTTCTGGCTGTATTACACCAACTCCACGCATCAGGAGCTGCTCACCTGGACGGTGAACATAACAACAGGTGGGTTTCTTATTCTTAAATTGCAAATACTTACTTTAAATGATTTCGAAATCGGTCCTTGAACAACCCACAGAAAGTAACTTTACAATTTAAATTATATGCAGATTATATTATTATTATTCTTCTTCTCTTTAATTAAAATGTTAAACAGTAGATTACAATCCTTTCTTGAATTGCAATTAAATCTTAGTAATTTAATGTGTATTTATTATTTATTTAATACAGCTCCCGATCCGCCGGCCAATCTGAGCGTGCAGCTGCGGTCGAGCAAGAGCGCCTTCATCACGTGGCGACCGCCGGGCACGGGTCGCTACTCGGGATTCCGGATCCGGGTGCTGGGCCTCACGGACGTGCCCTTCGAGCGCAGCTACCAGCTGGAGGGCAACGAGACGCTTCAGCTCTCGGCCAAGGAGCTGACCCCCGGCGGGAGTTACCAGGTGCAGGCGTACTCCGTCTACCAGGGCAAGGAATCGGTGGCCTACACGAGCCGCAACTTCACCACAAGTAAGTCCGGACAGCGGCCAGGAACGCGTAGTCCGCACCGCAGGTGCAACTTCTAATTCGACAGAATGCAATAACCAACCGCTAACAGATTAAACTGATTTGATTAATCCAATCCGAATCCGGTGATGGGCCATCACGACTAACACCCAATTCAATCTGTCTCTTGTGCTTGTGTCTCTCTCACCTTCTATCTGAAATGCTCTCCAGTGGATGGCAATCCGAATCTGAGAATCCGAATCTGAGCACCCAGAAGGTAACCCACCCAGCCTCCTCCTAGTTCCTCCTCCTAGTTCCTCGAGCGATTGCTGCTCATTGATTTTTACTTTTAGTTTTGCTAATAAACGGTGTGAGTTGATTAGTACTTATGGTAATTAGTAACGCCTCGTGCAGTGGCGCCCAACTCGGTTTGGAAATTGTAGAGATAGATAGATGAAAGATGAAAGTAGATTTGATCTCCCCGATTGGCTCAGGTTTTGGGGTCCACTGTGTCGGGCGTGATGCGTCTTTATTTGTTCGTCTTTGTTTGGCACTTTATTTATCGCTGAAAAGTTTAAATGGTGGTATTTATTTTATTTCCAATAACTCAGCTTTAAACTTGTATTAAATAACTTTGTTTTAAGTAACTACTAAGCTTTTATTTTATTTGGTTGCAATTAAACAAATTGTAGAAAGAGTAACTCCCATCCCATCCACTATCACCACCGAATACCGAATACTGTTAACCTTTCAGCACCGCTGCACATAATCCTAGAACTAACTCAAACCCCTGCTAACCCACTCGCTCACTCACTTAGTTCGTAGTTAGCCTGATTTCGCATTGATCCGACTCTCATGGCATCTCCGAATCCCTCTCCTCTCCGCATCTCCATTTCGCGAACCCAAGAACCCAACACGCCGGGCAAGTTCATCGTCTGGTTCCGGAACGAGACGACCCTGCTGGTGCTGTGGCAGGCGCCCTTTCCCGCCGGGATCTACACCCACTACAAGGTGTCCATAACGCCGGACGACGCCATCCAGAGTGTGCTGTACGTGGAGCGCGAGGGCGAACCCCCTGGACCGGCGCAGGCTGCCTTCAAGGGTTTGGTTCCCGGGCGCGAGTACAACATCTCGGTGCAGACCGTCTCCGAGGACGAGACGTCCTCCATTCCGACCACCGCCAGATACCTCACTGTTCCGGAGCGCGTGCTCAACGTGACCTTCGACGAGGCCTTCACCACCTCCAGTTCGTTCCGCGTGCGCTGGGATCCGCCGCGCACCTACAGCGAGTTCGACGGCTACCAGGTGATGCTCTCCACCTCGCGCCGCATCTTCAATGTGCCTCGTGCCGCGGACGGCGAATCGGTCTACTTCGACTATCCGGATGTCCTGGAGCCGGGTCGCACCTACGAGGTGGTGGTCAAGACGATCGCCGACAACGTGAACTCGTGGCCAGCCAGCGGGGAGGTCACTCTGCGTCCGCGACCCGTTCGCAGTCTGGGCGGATTCCTCGACGACCGCAGCAATGCGCTGCACGTCTCCTGGGAGCCGGCGGAAACGGGCCGACAGGATGCCTACCGCATCAGGTGAGTTAAGGTGTCCTAAAGAGAGAAAATAAAAACCGAAACATTAGGAAGATAATTTATTTTAAAGGCCAGGAATATTTAAATTACTATTTAAATTGTTTCTAAATGAGTATGTGTATCGCATTTAAAAGCAAACTGGTAATGATACCATTGTTTTTTTGTATCAATCTGAAAAGAAAACAAATTACTTTGAAAGCCAAGAATATTAAAATTCCAATTTAAATTATATTTAATATTTATATTTAAATAACATTCTTTTTCTTTTGTTTCAATCGTTAGCTACCATGAGCAGACGAATGCCAGCGAGGTGCCGGCGCCGTTCCCGGTGGCCACGGAGTCGCAGATCACCACAAACCTCACCGAGTACACACTGGACGCCCTGCTGCCGGGTCGTCGCTACCTGATCGCCGTGCAAGCCCTCTCGAAGGGCGTGGCCTCGAACGCCAGCGACATCACGCGCTACACGCGTCCGGCGGCGCCGCTCATCCAGGAGCTGAAGAGCATCGACCAGGGACTGGCGCTCAGCTGGCGGAGCGATGTGAACTCGCGGCAGGACCGGTACGAGGTGCACTACCAGCGGAACGGGACGCGCGAGGAGCGCACGGTGGCCACCAACGAGACGAGCCTGACGATCCACTACCTGCATCCCGGATCCGGCTACGAGGTGAAGGTGCACGCCATCAGCCACGGGATCCGTAGCGAACCGCACTCCTACTTCCAGGCAGTTTGTAAGTACCCTTTAGATACTAGATATTATATATTCCATAATCTATAGAGTAGAATGTGTTTTTAGCATCTGGTTTGGATACTTTGTTGCAACGCTTGAAGTCGAATTCGAATTCCCATTCGATCCGATGGCTTGGCATCGATAATATGATAGATAATGTATTCCATAATCCTGTTAATTATGAATTTAGCTCTTTTATCGAGCTTAGCTTTATGGCTCCTAATGAGCGGACAGGCCAAACAGGTTGTGGTCATCATTTAGTTTTGTTTTAACTAGCTTTGAGTACAATGAAAACAGTTTATATAACTATATAATCGGAAACTGTTTGCGATTTATAGTGCATTGAATTGTTATATGTGGGTTCAGTTCATTTATTGGTTGGATAACCAACAATACAAATAGTTTGCGTGATCCCTTAAATGAATCTATTCAAATCTATTATAATCTGTATATTCTATATATTAATCTATTCTCCTCTTCCGCAGTTCCCAAACCGCCGCAGAATCTCAGCCTGCAGACGGTGCACACGAACCTGGTGGTGCTCCACTGGCAGCCGCCGGAGGGCAGCGACTTTAGCGAGTACGCGGTGCGCTACCGCACGGACGCCTCCGCCTGGCAGCGGATCTCCGGGCTGCACGAGAACGAGGCGCGGATCGAGGACATGCACTACGGCGAACGCTACCTGGTGCAGGTGAACACCGTCAGCTTCGGCGTGGAGAGCCCCCATCCGCTGGAGCTGAATGTCACGATGCCGCCGCAGCCCGTTTCGAATGTTGTGCCGCTTGTGGATTCGCGCAACCTCACCTTGGAGTGGCCCCGTCCCGATGGCCATGTGGACTTCTACACGCTCAAGTGGTGGCCCACCGACGACTCGGAGCGCGTGGAGTTCAAGAACGTCAGCCAGCTGGAGGATCGTGAGTATACCATATGCATACCATATCCTAGTTAGCACCTCCTCTCTAACTCTGTTTTGCATTTTCTAATTCCAATGCAGTGAGCTCGCCAAGCGTTCGCATTCCCATCGAGGATCTGTCGCCGGGTCGCCAGTACCGCTTCGAGGTGCAGGCCAGTTCGAACGGCATCCGCTCCGGCACCACGCACCTCTCCACGCGCACCATGCCGCTCATCCAGTCGGACGTGTTCATCGCGAACGCTGGCCACGAACAGGGTCAGGATGAGACGGTCACCCTGAGCTACACACCCACGCCGGCGGACACCACGCGCTTCGACATCTACCGCTTCTCGATGGGCGATCCCAAGATCAAGGACAAGGAGAAGCTGGCCAACGACACGGAGCGCAAGCTGAGCTTCTCCGGCCTGACGCCGGGCAAGCTCTACAACGTGACCGTGTGGACGGTCAGTGGTGGAGTGGCCAGTTTGCCGGTGCAGCGGCTCTACCGCCTCCATCCGCTGCCCATCGGCGATCTGAGGGCCAGCCAGGTGGCGGCGCGCGAGATCAGCCTTCAGTGGAGCGCTCCGGCCGGCGAGTTCACCGATTTCGAGCTGCAGTACCTCAGCGCCGACGAGGAGGCGCCCCAGCTGCTGCAGAACGTGACCAAGAAGACGGAGATCACGCTGCAGGGGTTGCGGCCGTACCACAACTACACCTTCACCGTGGTGGTGCGGGCGGGCTCCACCCAAAGCTCCGATTCGGACGTCTCCGGCGGCAGCACGCTGATGCGCAGCAGTGCCCCCATCTCGGCCAGCTACCAGACGCTGCCGGCTCCGCCCGGCAAGGTGGACTACTTCCAGCCCAGTGACGTGCAACCGGGCGAGGTGACCTTCGAGTGGAGCCTGGAGCCCGGCGAGCAGCACGGCCCCATCGACTACTTTCGCATAACGTGCGTGAATGCCGACGACGCGGCGGATGTGTCCAGCTACGAGTTCCCGGCGAACGCCACCCAGGGCAGGATCGAGGGCCTGGTGCCCGGCAATCAGTACATCTTTCGGATTCAGGCCAAGTCCGCTTTGGGCTTCGGCGCCGAGCGGGAGCACCTGCAAACGATGCCCATCCTGGCGCCACCCGTTCCCGAGGCGAGCGTCACGCCGCTGGAGGTCAGTCGCACGAGCAGCACGATCGAGATCAGTTTCCGGCAGGGCTACTTCTCGAATGCCCACGGTCTGGTGCGCTACTACACGATAATCGTTGCCGAGGACGTGGGCAAGAATGCGTCCGGCTTGGAGATGCCCAGCTGGCAGGACGTGCAGGCGTACACCGTGTGGCTCCCCTACCAGGCCATCGAGCCGTACAACCCCTTCCTCTCTGCCAATGGGAGCCGGCGGAGCAGCCTGGAGGCGGAGCACTTCACCATCGGAGCGGCCAGCTGCGAGAAGCACCAGGCGGGCTACTGCAACGGTCCGCTGCGGCCGGGCACCACCTACCGGATCAAGGTGCGCGCCTTCACCGACGAGGACAAGTTCACGGACACCGCCTACAGCTCGCCGATCACCACGGAGCGCAGCGACACCGTCCTCTGGATCATTGTCCTGGCCATCTTCCTGCTGGCGGCGATGCTGTTGGGCTGCTGCTTCAAGCGCCACTACCAGACGATCCGGCGCGCCTCCAAGCTGGCCCGCATTCAGGACGAGCTGGCCGCCCTGCCCGATGGCTACGTGATTCCCAATCGGCCGGTGCACGTGAAGGACTTCCCGGAGCACTACCGCCTCATGTCCGCCGATTCGGACTTCCGCTTTAGCGAGCAGTTCGAGGAGCTGAAGCACGTCGGTCGCGACCAGCCGTGCAGCTTCGCCAATCTGCCGTGCAATCGTCCGAAGAACCGCTTCACCAACATCCTGCCCTACGACCACTCGCGCTTCAAGCTCCAGCCGGTGGACGACGACGATGGCTCCGACTACATCAACGCCAACTACATGCCCGGCCACAACTCGCCCCGGGAGTTCATCGTCACCCAGGGGCCGCTCCATTCGACGCGCGAGGAGTTCTGGCGGATGTGCTGGGAGAGCAACTCGCGGGCGATCGTCATGCTAACGCGGTGCTTCGAGAAGGGACGCGAGAAGTGCGACCAGTACTGGCCGGTCGACCGGGTGGCCATGTTCTACGGGGACATCAAGGTGCAGCTGATCATCGACACGCACTTCCACGACTGGAGCATATCTGAGTTTATGGTTTCCAGGGTTAGTATCTGAATACTGGTATATCCATGCCATGATCCCTTTAATGGAATATATATTCCTTTTCTTTTGCAGAACTGTGAATCGCGGATAATGCGGCACTTCCACTTCACCACCTGGCCGGACTTTGGGGTTCCAGAGCCGCCGCAGTCGCTGGTGCGGTTCGTGCGCGCCTTCCGCGACGTCATTGGAACGGATATGCGACCGATCATCGTTCACTGCAGCGCCGGAGTGGGCAGATCGGGCACGTTCATCGCGTTGGATCGCATCCTGCAGCACATCCACAAGTCGGATTATGTGGACATCTTCGGCATTGTGTTTGCCATGCGAAAGGGTGCGTGATTTATATATTATTTGAACCTGTTTAAACTCAATAATCAATCAATGATTGTGGCTTCTTGCAGAGCGCGTGCTGATGGTGCAGACGGAGCAGCAGTACGTGTGCATCCACCAGTGCCTGCTGGCGGTGCTGGAGGGCAAGGAGCATCTGCTGGCCGATTCGCTCGAGCTGCACGCCAACGATGGCTACGAAGGTGAGTTGCCTGCCAGCTGAGTCCCAAGCTGAGTCCCCCCTTCTTCCTTTCCCTTTCCCTTTTCCCACTTTAGTCTCTCTCTCGCTGATTTTTCTCGTTTTTTTTCACTCTTTTTCGGATCAAGTTTCATAATTTATTTTACCGATTAACTAAATCTGTTTTACGAACACACAATCTGAATCTGGTTACGGGCTGCTCTTTAACTTGATATTTTTGGTGTTTTTTCCCCACTTGTTTATAATGACTTTCCGTGGCTGCGGTTCCCCTAGAGGCGGCTTTCTATTAATTTACTTGAGATTGTCACTAACCAACCGAATATTTTTCAATAATTTATTTTCTTCTCTCTTTTCACAATCATACACACAAACACACCCATCAAACAATTAAAACACTATTGTAAATCACACAACAAACGCCTAACTTACACACTCCATACGCTTTTACTCCCGCAAAAACGAAATTCAATTAAAAATCAAATACCGAACTCCAAACGCAAAACCCCGCAAAAAAAAAAAAAAAAAAAAACGCACAAAAAAGTGACTAAAATTTACTTAGAGCGCCAACCACAAACCAAAATGGGAATCCTGCCCATTCCCCTCCCCATACGGGCTTCTTTGGCCAGAGCCGAAGAACTGGATGCGGATTTGGATTTGGATTTGGATGTGGAGCAGCAGAAGCTGACGACAAAGGAAGAGAAGCCCCAGAGCAGCGACGATGAAGAAGAGGATGAGGATGAGGAGGATGAAGATGATCATCTTGATGATGACCAGCAGCCGTTGAACAACGAGACGACGGCCACCTTATCATCGGCTAGCTGCAGCAGCAGCTGCAGCCGGCAGGATGTGCAAGTGGATCTCCAGGAGGTGAACCCCATTGAACACCAACACCCCAAGCCAGAAAAGGAACGAATCTGCACGGGCTCAAAGTCAAAATCGAAATCAGACTGTGAAACTGACACCGACGATGAGGATGAGGATGAGGATGAGCCAGTGGCCAAGGATGGCGCTCTGGCTGTCGCCGATGAGGACGGCTGGTGGTATTGATAGAAAAGTCGACTTTTGTCTAGGTTTGTACCCACAAAACAACACAACAACACAGACCCCTTAAAATAAATGAAAGCTTTCGTTTAATATGCATGTTGTTCCCACATCCAAATTACTTGCTCTAACTCGCTTTTACCCCAGACTAAAAACTAAAAACTAAAAAACAAACACGAAATTCTAACCGCACTGGCAAAGAAACTAACATCGACACATGAACACATGGTTGTGGGCAAAAAAAATAATAAACAACATCCGAAACTCAACCAAGAGAAGCGAGCAAAGTATGAATCGAAAACCCACATTAGCCTGTCCTAGTTTATGTGTTATGTTCTTGCATTCGAGTAATTTGTAGCATTTTCTTTTCGTAATTTATAAACCGAAGTTTGGGTTTGGATCTAATGGAAATGTTTGTGCCCTTTTACAGATGACGAAGGCATAGCGGAGACGGGAATCTGAGGACGCTTGCTGCGGGAATATCATCTACCCATGATATGATATTCGATAGTACCTATAGTTATTTTTTTTACAATCTGCCTGTGATGTGCTGGATGTGATTTGTCTACGGAATGGCATTCATTCGGAGTTGCTGTCAAATGAGTTGAGTGTGTTGAGTGAGTCTGTGGTCGCGGGCCCTTCTATTTCGCTGCACACCGTCGAAAGCCACCGCATTATCTTTTGAGGATCTGGGGATCTGAGGATCTGAGGATTGGATCGATCGGTGGACGTCGGGGGACGAAAACGAAGAAGGCCTCGCGTTTTGGCCTGTGCCATTGATGCGTGTACCGCCTGTTCGCCGTACCGCCTGTTTGCCATAGAGCTAAGCTAGCTAGCCCGCTTATTTAATGTAATGCCGCCAAATTAGACCAAACCAACAAGAGCGTATACTTAAGCTTCAGGTGTAATAATCTGCAACCAATTCTTGCATCTATCCCTGTATCCCCCACCCTGTATCCCCCACCCTGTAACCAATGTCCATTATATAATGTCCATTATCCCCCTGCTCTGTCGTGTTGTGTACAGATTTGTAAATTTGTTTCCATTTAGTGGACGCGATATTATGATTATGTCTACTATTACTATTACTGCTATTATTACTATTACTCTTAACGATGTATTATTTTTATTATTATGTAGATTAGATTCGTTTTATCGATAGACTTTAGTCCATGATTAGTCAGCGAAATGTTGACTCTAACTGCATGCAAACCTTCCATTTGTTCTCTGGCCATTTATGTCTCGAATTAATCAAGCGATTCCATTGCATCCGGTCAGAGCTCAGAGCAGCAATAGCAATTGCAAAACTGTGCAGTTAAAGTTGTAAGCATTTATTTTATTGTATTTAATTCTATTTTTTTTTATGTGCATGTCCACAATACCAATAAATTTTTATTGAAATGCGAAATGTCCCTTGGGATCCAATTTGTGGTTAATTTTTTGGGTTTGTCGAAGTTGCGAACCATCAACAACTGTCGTGGTGAGTACAGGGTGATCTGTTCAGAACACTTGGCATACTTTCCACAGACAAGTTTCAAACCATCAATGGCACTCACATAATTAAGATCAGTTTCAAACCATGAACTGAACTGTTATATTTGAAAAGTTTTAGAATTTTCCTTTGAGAAAATTGTGGAAAATGAATTCACATTTTTTTTGTTACCATTGAGTACAAAAAAAAAAAAAAGATTAAATTTGAGTATACAGGTTTCCCTAGCCAAACAGAGTTTTAAATTCATAGAGATACAACAGTGAAAAAAAATCCTTTTCAAAAATGAAAATGAAAATTTGAACTTCGTTTATACTTGTAAAATGTTGAATTTGTTATATGTTGATGCGAATTCAACTTGATTTTCCCAGCAGCATTTAAGAAGCACCAAAGCGAGATAGCCGGGCATTTAAACAATCTTAATGGGCTGATCAGGCCAAATACAGCGAAAATCATCGGAACAATTATGAGGTAGCTAGAAGAAATTGGTTGCAACATGCTGCTCTTGATCCGCGATCCGCAATTCGCTTGCAACAAGTTCCAGGAAGAGGAAGACGAGGATCGAAAGCCAGATCATCATGATCGCTATATGATGCTGATCGTGGATGTCAGTGCAAGTCGGCATTCGCTCAAACAAATAAAGCTCGCGACTAATTGCATTTGCACTTGTTGTGCGATATTTCTTTGCTGGAAATCACAAACATACACACACACACACACACACACACGACCACACCACAGTGGGCAGAAAACGAAAGAGTGGAAAGAAATGTTCTCTTTGGTTAAAGATGGGTACTGATCACAGTTTAAGACACGTCATTTGTCATTTATCTTTCGTGGCCTTTTAGCGTTTGGCTTAATTGACTTCTTCGCCATTATACAGCTGCAGCGAAATACAAATACAAAACGAGCCAACTGGCAAGCCAGGAGGCGGCACATAGAAAAACGGTTGCCATTTGGCAAAAGGATAAGGACAATAATTAATCAAGTTGTTTACAACATATGAAACCCCAAATGAGATTGCAATCTAAAATGTATTTTGGCTGATATTATTATTTCATACGAGATGCAATTAAATGTTTTTGTTTCTGTGCATGGACTTTTCGCTTAAGCCTTGGCTGAAAGTCTTGGTCGGAGTTTTGGTCCCATCATCGCAGCTTCTCATCGCTTCGCTTCGCATCGCCTTGTCTTATGGTCAATACCAATTGGCCGTACATCTAGCTGGCGGAACATTTAGCTTCATTACGTCGGGCCATGTTTGCTGTTTGCCGGCCTGGCCATCATCGCACTGCAGAACCGTTTTAATTAGATGTAACCATAATAAATCATAGGAGAGCCAAAATCGAAATCAGCGAGGAATGCAGCCGCATCGAAAGGGAATTTCCAGGTTGCCAACTTGGCTCCTTGGGCTGAAAGCCAGCAGTACAGTAAAGCCTGCACAAACAAAGTAACTATTCTGGATATTGAAATACACCTCTTTAAAGCCACTCAAAGCGAAGCATGTGAAAAGAGCTCTTTGCGACTGGAGTTCCTGGAGTTTGTGGAGTTCTTGATGGTTTTCCTTGGGTTCCCATCGCCAAAGAGTGATGTTCTATTGACATGCAAGTTGGCAGTTTTGGCCGGGCCATAAACTTCTGGCTGGCAAATGAGCAAATGCTGCTGCTGCTGCTGCTAATGCTGCCCACCCTCAAAGCCTTTGGCTTTTAAGAAGTTTGCAAGTTTCGTGTTGTGTTCCTGCTGCTGATGTGTTCGATCCATTGGATTGTTGTCTACCTCTGGTTGTAGTTCGGTTCGGATTCGGATTCGGATCACTTCAGTTCAGTTCAGTTTGGTTCTATTCAAAGCTGGACTTAACCCACATTGTGGCCATTAAAAAGCCATTCGCCATCCGCTGTTCGCTATTCGCATTTGGCGAGGATGGCCATTTGACAACGCCCGGTGCGAAATGCAAAATGCAAATTGCACTGGCAATTGCCACGCTTCGTTCCGCCCCCTCATTTTCCCATTCCCATTCCCATTCGCAATCCCAATCCTCTCCAGACATCACCCACTGGCTTGCCACATCTTAGATAAGTGCATTGTGCATTGTGCATTGCATGCAATTTGGTTGCATGTATTGGCCCCGGCACAACCACAGCGGCAACATCAGCAGCCAACGCAGCAACAACTGCAGCAGCAGCAGCAGCAGAAGCAGCAGCAACATGCAACAGAGCAGACCCTGCAACTTTGCCTTGCTCTTGGACTTGAACTTGTGAATTTGCTAGACAACAAGCCGAAAAACCTGGGGAAGCAGCCACCAGCAGCAGCAACAACAGCAGCAACAACTGCCAGCAGCAATCAGCGGCAAGTGAATGAGCTTAAATTGTCCAAAGCACTGTGGGCCTGTTAGGAGATTTACTACACAAAATATTATTCTCAAGGGAAGGGTAACTCTAGATCTAAAATGTTTCTCTGGATTTCGGGAATATTGCAAAGCTTTATCTTTACTGGAAATGTAGTTCAATTATCTGCACAATTTCGCCTTTTTATCCACTGTGCAATTGCTCGAGGGGAGGTGGTTTTCGGTCGGTTTTGGTTTTGGTGGTGGCCATGATGATGGCTTCGCTGGCTGATTCTGCAACCCATCAACTGCCCCCCCTTTTGCCCCGCCCCCTCTTCCCTGAGCCTCTGGATGGCATGTTGCTGCCTCAACGCCCTCAGTACGTTATTATATAGGTGCACATATACACATATACCTACTATATGCGTTTTATGCGACTGATGTTGCCTGTGCTTTTTTTACGATTGCTGTTGCTGTTGCAGTTGCTGCTGTTGTTGCTGTTGCTGCTGGTCTGGTCGTCTGTGGAGCATCAAGGCACTGGGGCAGCGAGGCATCAAGTTCGCAATGGGCGACATGAGATGGCTTACACATACACACACACACACAGGCAAACAAACACGAGGCATACACTCGAGCAAAAAGATAGTGCCAAGAGCAACCGCAGTTACTTTTGGCTAAGACTGCATAGACAAGCCTCAATTAAGTTGCAATTGCAGTTGTTGCTGCTGCTGCTGTTGCTGCTGCTGTTGTTGCTGCTGCCGCTGCGACTGATGTTGCTGCCGGGGAAGCGTTGGCGGCATCGGAATTCCACTGTGGAGCTGAGCTGCCCACGCGCGCGCTGCTCGGCTGCCTGTTTTGCTGATAAAGTCCGAAATGATGTACAACCCATGTGCTGGTGGCTCATTCTCATTTCTCCTGCCTTTTCCCCACTTTTCCCCGCTTCTCTTCTTCTTCTTCTTCTTCTTTTTTCCACTCCGCCAGCATTTGTTTTTCGTTTTTGTTTTGGCACAGGAGCGCACTTTTCATTCACGGGCGGCAGTCAAACGTCAAGCTCCGATTGGGAGAATTGTGGAAATCAGGTAATTCGAGCTCCTAAGATTGTAAACTTGTAATTTTTTTTTATTATTATCTTTTACTTTGGTTGTGTGTTTTTATATAATTAGCCTACAATATCCTTTTGCTTGAATTGAAAAAAAGCTATATTACTCCCTAAATTCCATATTTAGTAACTTATCCACTCTTTACCCTGAAGGTTCTATTTCGGTTTCACTAAATGCGATTTATATTCTCAGATTCCTTGATATTTCGGGGGTTCCCCTTTATAAAATTCTCCTTTTGTTTGGTAAAAGTTGTTGTATCCTTCGTCTTGCGAATTTTCTAACGCGATTTCCAAAAATTGGTTCTTCTGTTTGCCTTTTCCCACTGACGCCTCTCTCTTATCCTTATTGTTCTATATATTGTTTTTCTTCCTTTTATCATATTATTAATCTACTCTCTTATTCAGATCACTTTTCCTAGTTTTTCTGGATGAAGGTTTTCGGCACGGTGAAGGGTTTGGATGCCTCGGCGACCAAAGTGGAGAAGCGCGGCGTGGGCGGGGCGAAAAGTCCCATCTGGATGGCCTTATCCCTGATCCCGTCCAGCCGGAGCTCGATCTGGGCGTTGATCTCGTCGCTGAGGAGCTTCAGCTCGGCGATCTCGTAGTGGAAGTCGTTGATGTGCCTCTCGAGGAGCGCCTGTCGCAGGTACCGCCGGCTGTAACGGAATCCGCTGGACATGTTCGTCTTGGTCACCAGCAGGGCCATCTTCTTGGTCAGCTTGACGGCGGCGAGGGATCGATGCCGCTGCTGGCAGTTGCTCAAATCGCTGGCCGACTCCTGGGTCCACTCCAGGTGCACCAGATTGTGGGCCCGGATCTCGGCGATCTGGCAATTGAGGTGAGCCCACTGCTGGCTCAGGGTGCGCATCATGCTCCTCAGCTTGTCGTAGCGGCAGAGCAGCTCGCTCACCTGGCACTGCATGTGGTGCTGGGCCCTCTGCACGCACCTGATCTCCGCCTGCTTCGGAGTCAGTCCACTGCAGTCCACCTGCTCCTCCCTCTGCTCCTCCCCCGACTGCTCATCGCAGCTGCCTTCGTGTTGCTGCCGCCTTCGGATCTGGCTCTGCATCATCTCGATCCGATTGAGGATCTGGTCGAGGGCGTGGATGGCGCGCAGCGTCTTCGTCTCCTCGTCGGAGCTCTGCTCCTCCTCCTCGGCGAGTCCGTAGGGCATCAGGTCGGACTCCGGCTCCGCTGAATCGGTGTCCTCCAGCTCGATGGTCGGCCTATCCGGCTCCTGGCTCTTGAACGAGATCATCCGGTAGCTGAGCGCCTGGCACTTGTCGGTCGTCCGCGCAATCACATCGATGTCCTCCAATTTGGTCTTGTGGCAGTCGCCCAGTTCGGCCAGCAGGTCCATCTCCTCGTCGAGCAGGTAGTCCCTCGGCTCCGTGGCACTGGGATCCATCTTGCCTCGCAACACTTACTGCTTCCCTTGGCGGTTACGGATTTTAGGTTTTAGGCTTAGGTTTGCGTGGTAAAAAATGTGTGAGGTGGGCTTTACAAGGTACAAAACAATTGTGAGCTGACAGGCAGCGAAGCCTACCTAAGTCTACTAAACAATATCGAAACTATTTAAAAACAAAAAAAAGAAATTATAGAGAAACTCCCTAAAGTGTTATTAAACTGAAGAAAGGTAATAAAAAGTGCACTTTTGGCAAGCCACCAAGCCAATTCAATCCGCTCCTGGTTTTTTGGCCTTGCGCTGATAAGAAAATTTATGGTTGCCCAGTTGCTTTGGCGGCATAATTGCGCACCCACATCCACATCCACATCCACATCCAAATCCGAATCCCCAGAAACAGCCACTCCACATGAAGTCCAACCAAGAGTGGAAAAAATAGGAAGCTTGAGCCAGAAAGAGGGCGGTGGAGTCTTCTTGTGGGCTTGTGGGCTGTCTTCTGGCGTGTGGCTTCATCGCCAATTCTTCTAGTCAGCCCTCCCCCGTTTCTTCCTCCCTCCACACCCGCCACACCCCCCCCCCACTCCTCACCGCTGTGCCGGCAGTTGACTTTGTTTACCCGCAAGTTGTAATTTTCTGCGAAAACCGTCAGCCGCAGAATTGCTTTTCTCCATCTCCATCTCGCAAGCTCAGTCTTCTGTCTCTGATAAATCCCGCTTCTGTCTGTCTTCTGTCTTCCTCTCTGTCACCTCTCTTTCTTCTGCCTCCCCCCTCTGCCTTCCCTTTCTCCAATTGAAATTGGTGCCCCCAACTGCGGTCTTGCGGTGATCTTTCTTCTGGGCCTTGCCTTGCTAATTGCTTGCCAGAGATTCGGGCGTCTACTTAGGACATCATCCAAGACTCAAGCGAAACGGCGAGAAAACTAGTAGTGATTTCAGAAACAATTACAAAACAAAATAAAGAACGATAAGAAATGGCGATTGATAACAGAATCAGAACAGCTAGAAAGATATATTTATCAATCTTTTTTGTTTTTAGATTAGTTTTCGCTTATACCTAATATATACCTGAAATAATGCTCAGTGCTTTTCACGTAGCAGCAGCGATTGACAGGCTTTTAGCCAGCTTTGCTATTCCATTTGGAGCCATCTGGCTATTGAGGCATTTGCTGAATGCTGAATTGTCACATGCGGAATTTCGCAGGTCTCGAAGAAAACGCGATAGGATACGAAAAGAAGGCCCAAGAATGGGGTTAGCTTGGATAAATATTCAAGAAGCTTTCAAAAAAAAAAAAATAAAACAAACTAGGAAGATTTATCACCATCATGGAATATTGTAGTGGAAGTGGAAGTCACTGAAATAGTTCCCACTACTACTTTAGTACTAAAGTAATGTGTCTTATTTCACTTTGAATTTCATGGCTAGAAAAGCAAGTTGGGGGAAAGAATGAGGAGAATGGAGAGCCAAGAGCCGAGAACCGAGAACCAAGAACTGTACCGCTAAGATGCCTAATTACATCCAAGATCCAAGAAGATCCAAGAGTGATGACCGATGATGGCCATAGAAGTTCACATGATCTGCTGATCTCCCGGAGGCCTTGGTCATGCAGGAAGTTCAAGTGTGAGAGCAGCAGGAATGCCGCCATCCAGACATTCATATGCTATATTCCTATTATTCCTATATTCCGACGACTTCAGTTGACTTTGGCCCGGTCAAATCTAGCCGGCTTCAACTCTTCGGTAGCAAAAATCAGAAGGCAGAAGATAAACGAACATTAAATAATAACAAAAACAAAAACAAAAACACAGACGAAGATGCAGACGTGGAAAACAACTGAAAGAAAACGAGTAGCGAATAATGCAATATACATTAGATATAGAACAAGTCTATAGAAAATTACGATTTATGTAACAAGTCGAGGAATTTAAGTGCATTTATTTCCGCATCTGGAACTTAGTGGAGAAGCGAGCGCATAAAAAATAATGTCTTGTCCGTGATTGATCGACATTCGGATGTCCTGTATTAGTATATATAAATATTTTTGAGATACAAAATTCATTTCAGCAATGTTACATGGTTAACATATATTCACTTATCATACAGTTGAGATATTTCCCATTTTTTATGTTTTTTTCTTTATGCTTCAAAGACAGACAGAAGACTTCAGTGACTTTGCTCTAAATCCAGTCTAATATACCTATCAAGCTGACATTAAAGAGTAACCTGCCGATCAAAAGCGAGGCAAAGAAAGCGATTTTCCGATGTGTGCTCGCTTGGGGGAGATGGGGATCGAGACGATCCAGGATCCGATGGGAGGGAATAAGATGGAATGGGATGGGATCTGCAGTGCAGTGCATCCATCAGTCAGTCACCCATTCAGTTAGTCAGTGCAGTCAGTGAGTTAGTCAGTTAGTCAGTCGGCCAGACAGACAGTCGGTTATTAAATGTGACCATAAGAAATAGAAACAACACCAGACGGAGTGGAAGGGGAGCCTAAAGGGGGAGTCATTACATAACAGCGGGCACAATTGCGAATCGCGAATCGCGAATAGCGAATGGCAGAGGAGATGACCAGCCAGCCAGATGACCAGCTAGATGGCGAGGTGGACTTGTAAAAATCATAGCGCTGCTAAAGCGTAAAGGCAAAGAATTATAATTTTCCAATCAACTGATAAATTTTTAATGATGCGACGGACAGAGGACTCGGGGATCTCTAATATGCTGTCCAAGGTGCATGCTGGAATCCCACTGCGATCGCGATCATGATCATGATCATTGCAATGAGCCAACTGCCAATGCTAGTGCGATATCCAATGGCCAATGGCCAATGGCTAATGATCATCGGGCGAGTGGACAGTGGACATGTGTAAGAAACATTCCCATAGGTGTGATTGCCGGCGCGCAAGAACAAGTAAGACACCAAATAACTGTTACCTAGACCGTCTATCGTCCACCGTCTACCTACTCGTCGTCCACATGGGCGGGTGGAAAATCCACAAGGGGGGAGGGGGAAGGGAGTGGCGGGGGTTGTCAAGAAGAGGCGCCTCAAATTCACTTGGTGACGCGAGTGACTCCTCAGTTGCCATTGGCACTGCACCAAAAAGTGGTTGCCGTGATCGATGCCGGCTTTTGATGCCCCCCCCTTCACTAGCTTGATTGTCAGTCCCTCCCCTTTACCCCCCTCTTCCCCACCCCATGCAAATATCCCCCACTTCTGCCGTTGGTTTTATCTCTCTACCGGTTTTAAGCCAAATCTCCAAAGCCGCGCCACTCGAAAAGTGCTCAATCAGCGAATGACGTAATTAAATACCATGCAGATAAGGATGTTGCTCTTCTGAGTGTCTTTAAAGCGGTTGGTGTTTGTGCAGAAAAACAATATTACCAACCTGTTGGTCATTGTCGAGCATTTAGTTAATATTATTACCTAGTTGATGGGATGGCTTTGGGATAAAAGGAAAACATATGGAACAAGAAAGAGAGCTAACTTCGGCAAGCCGAAGCTGATATACCCTTGCAGTCATCACAAATGTTTGACTTCATTATCGAAGAAATGACGATTTTTCGACTTATTTTTCCATAATTGATTAATGCAAAAATTTCATAAAATCATTTAAAAAAAACTTCGTCTTTTGTCTCTCTTTCGGAAAGTACTGATCTAAATATAGAATGCCATACACCAATGAATTCGTAATAAAATTCTGATTTCGATGGTATAAACACCCAAAAAAGTTGAAATTTTGCCATTTTTCGCAAAAAATGACGATGTTACCCCTTATCAAAATTGCGAAAATTGGTCAAAAATCATTTTTTTTGAATCGTCCAAACAGTGATTGGGCTCGTTAACTGTGGTCATAAGGTGCTCAAAACAGTGTTTGGTTCCGCTGTAAGTCACTTTTTGGCCTAATTACAACCGAAAAACCACTCAAAATATAGTGTTTTCTACTGGAATTGTCAACTGATCTTTCCCAAATCAGTTTTTATGAACTAACTAAAGGATCAGTTAAATAAAAATTAAATTGCATTCGGTGGCATGAATAGTTGGGCATTTCTGATTTTCAAAACTATACTTTGTTTGGCTGTAAGTTGTTTCTTTGCCCAAATAACAGACAAATTACCAATGGAAAAAGTTTTTTTTTGCCCAAAACTACAAAAAAAAGGCTAAAAAAAAAAACAGTTTTTTTGAATTATCTGAGAAAGTACTCTCCCAAATGTGGAGTGGCGTACATCGTTGAATTCGTAATAAAATTCTGATTTCGATGGTATAAACACCCAAAAAAGTTGAAATTTTGCCATTTTTCGCAAAAAATGTCAATGTTACCCCTTATCAAAATTGCGAAAATTGGTCAAAAATCATTTTTTTTGAATCGTCCAAAAAGTGATTGGGCTCGTTAACTGTGGTCATAAGGTGCTCAAAACAGTGTTTGGTTCCGCTGTAAGTCACTTTTTGGCCTTATTACAACCGAAAAACTACTCAAAATATAGTGTTTTTTCCCAAAATTGTCAACCAATCATTTTTAAATTGATTGATGCTTTATGCTGATAAAGAATATTTACACCTTATGGGGTCTGAGGTGTTTCCTTCACTCCGTTGCAAACTTCGGACTGAAATTATAATACCCTCTGCAAGGGTATAATAAATGCCTGTTCATTACTCGGATATACGATATCCCTTGAGTGAAGATTTAATATCTAAGCGAAATCTACCGTTCTATAATTACAAGCTCTTCGGCTAGACAAACACTTCTCGTTTTGCCATGAGAGAATTTAACATTTTGGCAACCGATCGATTGCGACCGTTATTTAATAAGGAAATTTTATCAGACAGAAGGGGTTTCCACTGCACAAGGGGGTGGGTAAAAGGGGGGAGGGGAAGGGGGGTGCGGTGTTCTTGGCCAGACTCAGGTGGCGATGTGTTCATGTCCATGTCCAAGTCGAAAGGCGCCAAAAGCTCGCAACGTTTTTCATTTCGTGCCCGCAGCCGTTGCACGCATACAAATTACGAATGCAAATGCGAAATCCCAGACCCAAGATTTTCCCGCTTAGCCCCCCTCTCCCTCCCCCTTAACCCCCCTTTACCCCTTTGGAGGCCTCAAGGAAAAGGCGGATCGAATGGACAGCAAATTGTTCG